GCGCCGCAAAATCAGGCCCATTATTTCCATGTAAAAAAATCGCCGAGAGGCAGACGGCAACACCTCGGGGACGTCGCGTCGATCTCTCGGCCCCGATTGCCCGGCAGGCGTGCAAAAAAAAATTCGCTTATCCGCGAATAACCCGCCGTGGCTTGAATTTTAAGTCCCACGCGAGGTGCAAATCGGGCCCCGAGCGATCGGCGACGATTAAAACCGAGCTTCGACGATTTCGCTCCTTAAGAAGTACCTTTAGGACCCGATCGTGCGATTTAATCGCACGTCTCTTCGAGGCTCCGCCGTCTGCGATTCGAGGACCTTGCGCCCAGGATGAAAAAACGACTTTTCCCACCTCCTCTTCTTACCGATCCTTTTATTTCTCCCTTTTCTCGCGGAAAGTCGCCCTGAAATATGGTCGGCGGAATAATGACAGTAGCGGGGCGTCATCGGTATCGACCAAACCGATCTTTCGGTACCCGAAGAGCCAATTATCCTGGAGGCGTGTAAAACTCGGGTGCGCGCGACCGACTCTCCCCGTGTCTTGAATTTCAATCGCCCCCAATTTGTCCGAGATGACTTCGAAGTGATCCCTAATTTATTCGCCGGGTTTCCGCGGTTCTTTTTTCATCTCCGCGCTTTTTCGCGCAACACGTGCGAACCGACGTACCCATAAGTCGAGTTCCTCCTACAGTTGACAATAATGCCTCCACTCGTGGGGGCGATTTTCTAAATAATTTTAAAAAGTTTCACGGGGGTCAAACAAAAGACATAAAAAAATATGTTTTCCGCGATTTCGCAGGGAATTCAAACGAAGGGAATTTATCTCCGAAGGGAGAAGGACTTTTCCTGGAGGCGTCACCCAGGATCCAGGAAGGAACCCCCTCTAGGGGGGGTCAGGGGAGGTCCGTCGGGCTCGTAAATCGGCGGAATACGATCGCACCAGGTGATTGCGCCGGGAACTCCTCGGGGACTTGATTTAAGTCCCGTAAAGTGAAATCAGTGCTATTAACAGCCAGTTGCGAGCCGTCCTCCGAGACGTGCCACCCATTTTGCTCCTGGCGATCGCCCGGAAAGACGAACGACTCGCCCGACCGCGGAAGCGCGGGTATATAGGAAAAAAGAAAAGAGAAAAAAAGAAGAAGAAGAAGAAGAGGTAAGAAAGGGGGAAAAATCACGGCCATTAATCCTCCGTCGAGGAGAGAGGGCGAATAAATCCCGAAAACTTGTACAAACGTCCCCGGGGGACGGCCAATTACACGGGGGACAATTAGGGCCGACGAGAGTACAGAGTGCGCGTCCAACGAGCGTCGTCGACAATGGACGGGTAAGCAATTACCAGAGAGTGGATCGACGAGAAAGGACACCTGGAATTGCGCCTTCGATTACTATACACACGTATATATATATATCGGCGGAATATCGAAAGATTCACGTACTCGATAAATTAGCGAAGAAAGAGATCAATGTAGAGTCGAGAGAGCGTCGTTACAGTCGGTACAGGTGCACGCGACTCCACTCGAGGGGTCAGGACCCCTTCGGAAGGACCTCCAAGGACTCGGTCCCGGAGATCTCGATAAACCGGCGGACAGGACACGAGAATTCGCTGACGAACGACCCCAGGGAGCCGGGCGATCGGCTACAAGGAGGAAGCACGCGATTAGAACGGCGGAACAGCGCTCGCGGTTTCTGCGGAATTCGTGTACCCCGAGTGCCGAGATAATTCGCGAAAAAGGACGCCCAAGGAGCGAGGACGCGGCCACCCCGAGATCCTACCTCCCGATTGCCCCCGAAGGAGTCGATCGAGGAGAAGGTACCTAACTCGAGGTCCCCGGTGCGGAATTAAACCGCGAGTCGAGGTGGCGTAGCGAGGGACCCTCCGCGTCCACCCAGGGCAAACTTCGGCCGATCCAGATGTCCTTTATATCCTGGCTGCATCCTGGCTAAAATTCGTCGGTTCTCCTGGAGTGGCTGGCCCCAGGTGTACCTGACACACCTTGAGGGACTCCTTTCGACGAGGACCGTCGCACCTCGAGGTGGCATTCACGAGAAAGTCCGCGAGGTCGCGTTCGCCATCCATCGACCGGGCCCCTCCACGGGGCTTGCCCCCTCCTCCTCGTCGGGCCCCATAGACCACCTCCTCTTCCAAGAAAGAGTGCCCTCGCCCGGCATTGGGCGCCGTGGGAATCGCAGCTACCGATTGGCCGGATCGATCCTCGCTTATCGATACCCTCCGCGACCCGGGGAAACCGCAGTTGTCGCCCCAACAGTCGCGGAAAAATGTCACGCTCGAACCATCCGCGCGTAAAATCGCGCGATCCTTAAATCGTACTCCTCGGCGTACCCAAAAACGGAGTCGCCGCATCAGGGGGAGAAAAAGGCGCGTTTTCATGCGGCCGTACACGCGTTTCCGCGCGGTCGTCCTCGAGGAACAAGGTTCTGCTCTCTCCCTTCCTCCCTCCCCGTCACGCGCGTACGTGGAGAAAAAGCAAGCGCGTGTTTCCGCGCGTAAACCCGGCTACAAATTAAGCGGCATTCCTATTCCCTTTCTTCATGGGATACGTCCCCCCGGTGCGCCCGATCGGGTCCTGGCCCTTCGTCCCCCAGGTCCATCGATCTCTCCGGGGGCACTTCCTCGTGTCTCGGTGACGATGCCCCCAAAAAACAGAGTTCCACATGCTCCCCTAATTTCAAAGGCTGGACCATTTTGGATTGACCCGGTGCCTCCAAAGGCTTATCAGAGCGCGTCCCGCGTTATCACCCACCGGAAGGAGGGCTTCGAGTGAGGCCTGAGTCGGGTATCGACTCGGAACGACCCATCGAGTTGCCCTTCCGTGTCCTCATATCGCGTTCTGCCGGACGGCTCGGACCCCGAGGAAGAAGGACGAGGTCGAAGGCGATCCAAGGAGCGAGACGAAGAGAAGCGCCGCCAAGGTGGACGGAGAGAGACGAGGAGAGGCGACCGCCGAGTTTACGAGATGATTGTCCTAGGGGCCCTATTCATTCGGCCAAGGAATCTCCGGGCGGATCTCTATTGTAGATTATTGCGCCATTGTCCATTGTCGCGATGGGGGTCTTTTTCAGCCGCAACCGCGGCTGGGAAAAGCGGAGGCGAGCCGCCGCCATTTTGGTCCCGCTGACCGCCGAAGGGGGACCAATGGTGTCCCGATTACAAAGAATTGGGAAGAAAGGAGGAATGAGAAACACAATACACGGTTAAACGCGAGATACAGTAAAAATGACAGGATGGATTCTCACGGCTCGCCGAAGTCCCTGCGCCGAGTTTCGTCGTCCCGGGGAGGAGGCCGAGGTAGAGTCGCAAGATGGCGGCGCGTCCCGGCGCAAAAATGACGGGACGCCCCTGGAATTCGCATATCGGCCGAATAAGGAGTCCCTTGTACGAGCGAGTCCCCGGCTCTTGATATATAAAAACCGCCGGCCATATCCACCTCCGATGGGAGGGCTCGCGGTATGCATCCTAATCGCTCCTCCTTTGTGCACCCGGGTGCATCCTTCGGGCGTTAAGAGAGGGCCCGGACCCCCGGCCTTCTTTTTCCCGGCCCCCCTCGAGGCTGACAATGTTTTAAATGTCCCCGGTACGGCATTTTTGCGCGGCCGAGGGTCTCTCCCTCTCTCCCCCTCTCGCTCTTCTTATTTCCCCTTTCTTCAGTCCTCTCGACGCCGCTTTTTGCCGACGACGCACCCCCCCGCCAGGTTCGCACTACCGATTCGCACCCATCTCACCGGCAAAATGTATCGATCTCGGCCGAATAGAAATATTATCGATAATAATGTTATCTTACTCGAGCTTCTACCTGGAGTTGTTACCTCGAGTACGAGTCTCGATTCTATGTACTCGACGCGAGCCTTCGAGATGATCCACTTACATACGTACTATCGGTAGGATTGGTGGATTGTAATTATCGGCGACGAGGGAGTGGGTTCCCTCTGCTACTTCAATTTTTACCCCTCGATCCCATTCCCTCCCCACGTCTCGACGTCGACCGCGACAGAAGGTGGCGAGGTTATCGTTCGAGCGCAGAGTGCCTCTAGAAATCGGCGGTGGGATCGAGGCCAGAATGCTCCTGAAAAATCGAGCCCAGGTCGACCGGCTCGAAGATCCGCATATGCGTCCCAATTCCCGCGGGATCATCTGGAAACCATAGCCAAGATCGGGTATCCGCTTCCGAAGCGACCCACGGATGGGGCCCGGGGCCTTGAGGCCCCGTTCCTCGTCGGACGGATCGAGAGATCGATCGGAAACCGATGAACCCCCCGCGACTGCTCCATAAATCAACGGGCCCTCTCCGAGGGCCGACGGCCGGATCGATGGGCCCGTGGATCAATGGTCGAGGGATCGACCGATCGACGGATCGATGAATCGACGGAACGATGGATCGCCGGGGAACGATGGATTCGAGAGCTCGTCATTACGGAAGCGATACGGACCCGACTCGAGCCGGGTCTCTCGTCGCGATCTCTGGATCTCTGGATCCTCGATTTCCCCACGACTCTCTCAAAAGCCCGGTCTTTCTCGAACCTCGGGTATCCGAGAATTTCCGAAAACCGCTCGAGCCGTTAAATCGACGATCTCGTCGTTACCCAGGAAGTGACGAGAGCTCACCTGTCCCCAATTTTCTGATGCTTGTCGGCGACCACGAGAGACCTGGCGTGTCCACGTATGCAAATTTCCTGGCCCTCTTCTCCTCGACAGGCGTTAAGGAAAACCCCTCCCCGATAAAGAGAGAGCAGGTTAGTGTCTTTATCCAGAGCCCACTCGGGGTTAAAAAAGATACAGGCCTTGAGTAAACCGGCTCTGAGAGTCGTTCGGATTTTGTGTGAAAAATGGGCAAAGAGTTTCTAGAAGAAAAAGAGAATCAAGCTAGGGAGAGGGTAAACGGGACAAGATTTCCCGAGAGATCTCTCGATGGTAGGCGATAGTACCCGACAGGGTACGATAGTACGACAGGACATTGTAGCAAAAGCAGGCGCTGATAGTGTCCTACCTTATCAGCCCGCTGTCGACGTGCTTCCCGATGTGGAACTCCCTGGCACCATCGACCATCTGGTTCGCCCAGGGCGGCTTGATCCACACGAGGTGTCTTAAGTGTCCCGCGTAGGCAGCCGGGAGCATCCAATTTTCAATGCTGAGCTCACTGTAAAACGCAAACCTGAATAAGGATCCAACCCTGACCCTGAGAGCTGCACCCTATCACGCGACCCTCAAAATTCCATGAAAAATTTCCTGATCGTCACCGCCTTCATTCGCGTCCTTACTTAACCTTAGATTAACTAAACCTCAAAGGAGAAGATTCGCAGGTCGCTCGTCCCGGGTGCCTTTATCTCCAAAAGAGCCTCGAGGAGACTTTTCGCCGGGCCGAGGGGCACGTAAAAGGATCGAAGCTAAGTAATGGGAAGGAAATAAAAGCACGAGGGGCATCCCTACCGGGCACCGCTTTACGAGCGTAACTTAAGCGGGAGGAGAGAGACTCGCCTCCGCTAAGCACCTGCCATATTTCATATCGAACACCTACCGGAGGATCGCCGGAAGAATGCCGTAACTGATTTCGAAAAGATGCGCCACTCGTTAAACGGCAGCAGCCCTATTAGCGCCAATTGACCCTCGTCAACGAGGCTTCTCTCCGCCGGGCCCTAGCCCTCCTCTCGCCTCTCTTCCTTTTCTCTCTCTCTTTCTCTCCCTCTCTGACCAGAATCGTGTAGAGGGGCCCCAGGTTTTCGCATCCTAGGCATCTCGTCTCGAGGTCCCCTCGTGCCCTCCGATATATCGTGCTACAATCCAACGAGTTAATTTCATTAACAGGTTCCCAGTGTACGCAGGGTGAGCGCAGGTATCGGTACGGCGATCGTTAGGAAAAATCGAGATATCCGAGCGGCGCGGATCGGCCTTAGGAGCGGATCTCCCGGCCAGATCTCCGGTCAGCCGGCAAAGTGGAACAACGGCGGTCGGTCTGTGTACTTATTGGCCGGGATATCGACGGGCAAGATCGCTAAGGCGAGACGGAAAGTAATGCTCGAGGGGTGTGCCCGACTAATTATTCCCCGTGCCCGGATCTGCATATCCTTAAGGGCAGGTTCCCGATCTTTACACATACATACACGACACACCCTAATTCGAGTCGTCGGCTCCGTGGTACATTCTAGTTTACCCCTTCCACTGCAATGGGAGGTCCAGATGTTTATGGTCTAAGTCCGAGACGAGCCTCCCTTCGGTCCTCCAATGATCTCCTAACCTCGAATCTCTTGCTCGTATTATAATCGACTTACATCTGCGAATCGTAAATGCGAGGAACGTTACAAGTTGTACCCAAGTGGCAGGCCATGGTTAATAACTTCCTGCCAGGACTTCTTGCCCGATTCTTCGACGAGTGATCAAATCTGATCCTGCTTCGCGGACCGTTTGGATTTTTGAACCGAGCGACTGGACGCGCCTGGCGCGCCATCTGGCGAGGCAGCGGCCGATCGCTAGGCGCGCGCCGAGCTCGCCGGTAAAGTCGGCAGCGCGGTTAACATCGAACCCTGGAGGCGATTCTATAGCGGACGATCGGTAAAGTCGGCATCGCCAGGGTCACGCGGGCGCCTGGTGGGCGCGACCGCATCGCTGGACGTGCGGATTTTTTCCCGTCGACGCGTTCGCCCTCGAGCCTCGTTCCCGTCCCGTTCGCACCTGCAGCTGCAGTCGCGTCACGCACCCGCGAGCTGCCCCGAGCGGCACGCACGCGTTGAGACAAGACGCGACCAGACGCGTTGAGTCGATCTCCAATTTTTCCAAAGAAGACGCCGCTCCCCTGAGACTCGATTTTCGAGCTCGCACGATCAAATTTCGCATGCTAATTGACGCGACTTAGTAACGCCGAATTTTTCGAGCTAATCTATTCGTGTGCCAAAAAAAATATCCGTACGAATAGGAGCTCTGGAGAGCAAAGCTGCATTTAAAAATCCATGAAGCTCTAGACTGACCTCAATAAATGTCTGGCATTTTAAAGCGATGAATTTTCTAATCGGCCTGACAGCCTACGATACGTGATACCTTTTATTCGCCCTAAAACAAAATGGCGACTCCGTGGAGAACGTGACGCGTTATCGACGCAGCGTCGTTGCACTACGCTGCACGCCTCCTCCGGCCTCTCCTTAACAGAGGGTGCTAATTGGGGTGGAGCATTATAATAAGTAACGGCGAGCGTATAATAATACCGTGGAAATAATCGGTATATTAACGAGCGCCTCGCGGATGACTTTCGGTCGTTCTCTCTTTCTCTCTCTCCCTCCCGGTGCGCCCAATGTCGCGAGGTTAACGAGCCGCGGAGAGGAGAGGCTTGCGTGTTTTTAATTATCCTGGAATGAGCATGCGTTTTAATTGCCGCGGAATGCGAGCGCGGCCCTCGTTAAGGAGTCTCGAGGCGCAAGGAGGAACGGCGAAGAAGAATTAAGACGCGAGGAACGGTGGCGAAGCATGCGCGATCGCCTCTCCCTCGTTCTCTCCGACGCCGGCATCTGCATTCTTCGCAGAATTTTCGGTGCACCTTAAGGAGCATTCCGCGGCGGAGCGAGCCCCAACGCCCGGATGAAACTCAAGGGAAAACTTGTATTTCATCCTGGAAGGAAAATCCACTTGCGGATCGTTACCCATAAACCGGATAATTTCCCCGATTTTCCGATCTGGCCATTCACGTGGACCGATCTCGAGCGTGATTTTAAACCGGACCTAGGGACTCCCCCAGATTCCGCATCGACGCGCCATCTGGAGGAGCATTGACGGAAATAACCCGCAAGGAGTACCGTTCGCTAGTACTCGTTACCATCTAGGGATAACGAGTCACGGGATTGGCCAGACGTTAAACCGCTGAATAATTTAAAAATCATTGGGTGTACCTAAACAATTGCTCCTTGTCCCAGACCGTGTCCGCGAGCATATCCTTGGGCACGAGCATGTCTGGGTGGGAGTCCAGATGAACGAAGGTGTTGCCTTCGAACGGTAAATGCTTGGAGCCCAGGCAGCGGTAAATAAAAGGCAGAACCTGGACGGGAAAGAGAGATTTTAGGACGACCGTTGAAATTCAATCTGTCCCGACGGTTGGGAAGTGAAAGAAATAAAGCCGCAAGACTCTTATTCCGAAGGTAATCCGTCTTTGACGATGCGCTTTCTAACCGCGTAGGACGAGGAGTGGAGCCGACGAGATCGAAATAAAAACAGGCCCCCGTAATCGAGTTCCACGCTCGCCTCCTTTTCTACCGCAACGTCAATGGATCGGTATTCATTAACGATATGTATACGTGTCGGGCCGATATATCTCGGTGAACGGAGTATATTACGACCGACCGAATCCGTGTCTCGTTCGGCAGGGGAAGTAAAAGGAACGAGCGTGGAACAGGAACCACTTTGTACGCCGGAGCGGCGGCATTCCCTCCTTATCTCCCACCACGTGCCGCCATTCGCGTCTACGCGGAGCATACAACGTGGACCCTTCCATTCGGCCCTCGTCCGGCGTCCTTTCGGCTCCCACTCTACGTCCAATATTTCCCAAGGGCACGGGAATCCTCGAGACGCTCCAGGAGTTATCCCGAGCTCCCGGACGCCACGTGGAATCCCTCTATCCGCTCGTCAAAGCCGCAAAAGGCGGTCCTCGAGAGGAACTCCTCGGTCTCCCTGAATCCGCATAGCGAACCCACCTCGTCGTGGGCCTCCACGACGTGGACCGGGATCTTCTGGAAGTACTTCCTCGTGAACGCCATCCTGGAATAGAGCTGCGGTAAGGTTGTCGCCACGGGGAGACTCTTCGAGAGGACCCACCCTCGCGAGCGACTACCGGAGCGCGACGCGACGACCCGAGAGCACTTAGAGGCCGGTCACAGACTGAGGACCACCGGTGCACCCTCGGGCGCCGATTATTTCGCGAATAATGGACGCGTCTACCTCTCCTCGCCGCGTCCAGATTCTCGCGGGACGAGTTCCTCTGCGTCCGTCTCTCTCGCTCTCATGCCGGAGATTCCCACGGCCCGGAATCGGGCTGCCGGCTGCGACCCTAACCTCTTGCGCGACCTTCGCCGTTACCTGCGCTCATCCTTGGACATTTCATTCATTACTTCGAGGCATTGTTCAGCATTCGGCATACGCAGATTTCTAACCAGAAAATCTAACCATCTGACGGCGACTCTTTTCTCCGGCGACGACCTTGCAGCATTAACTGCTTTAACGAACGTTCCAAGTTGCCAGCCCTGTCCATACTTGTCTAGGCGAGCGTCGAGCACCAGCGCCGCGATGCGGAGAGAAGAGGCACTGAGACGCGGTCGGTATGTACGGGTAATAGCGAGTTCTACATTGCCTCGGATTGGTACAATTAACCGCAAAGGGAAGGTCAGATTCCGCGTGCGAATGTAGTTTCCGAAGTTATTTTGAGTTTCTCCTGCACGGTATAACGTGTGTGTGCGAGTGTGTATGTAGCTCTAGCTGAGCAATAAATGGTGCTTCATGTATGCACGAGCTTCCAGAAGCATCGCCAGAGAGTGATACTATTCCACGATTGGGTAAGCTAATTCATGAGTAACCTCACTAATCGATGGTAAGAAGTTCTTTTTAAATATTCCAAATTGTAATCAATTTTAATAATAATTGTATTAGTGAAAATGACAGACGAAGACGAGATGTCTGTTTGGAATGAGCTGTCTGGCATTCCTGCGGACCCTCCTGACGTGAGAGACAAATGCTCTCAATGCAGGTGACGTTGAGAAACGAATTTCGTAGACTAATTTGCATGCGGTACAAGTGGCAATCTTCTAATTCAAGGTACATCGAATATAGATGCTCATGAATATTTTCTGTAAACAGGAGGCCAGCAGCTGTCTGCTGGTGTGCAGGACTGCCGAAGGAACGGCTTTGCCCTTGGTCCAAGATAATCATCCTGCAACATCCTGCGGAAGCTAAACGTTGCCTACGCACTGCTCCGATGTTGACGCTGGCTTTGGAACCAGGCAAATGCATCACGTTTAGGTATTTTAGTTCGATATTTGGAGATAAGCCTAGAAAAAATAAGTGTCTTTAGTCTTGTAGGGGCAAAAAATTTCCACAGTGCAGGCATGAAGGACTGGCAGAAATTTTGAACGATGAAAATACGATTCTGGTTTATCCGTCTCCTACAGCGGTAGCAATCGAGGAGCTCACTCCTGTTGGCACAAATGGCCAGACGCCATATAATTTAGTACTGTTGGATGGTACTTGGCCACAAGCAAAAGTAAATATCAATTTATTAATCTGTAACACGATTTAAATAATTTTATTATTTCCATTCAAGGCTTAATTAAAGATCATTTCATAGGCCATTTATCACTCGAGTCCATCACTGTGTTTGCTTCGAGCCTGCAAACTGGTAGGAGTACCTGCAAGCGAGTATATAATAAGGACTCAACCAACTGAAGGATGTTTGTCAACCCTTGAAACAGGAGCATTGGCTCTCTCTATTTTGGAAAGTAATCCACGATTAAGAGATGAGATGCTTGGCCCTCTTCGTCATCTATGCAAGTAAGAACTCGTTTATATGATTCAACATTTTGAGAACGATAGATTCATATCCTTGCATGATTTTCATCAGATTTCAGTTAGAAAATGGAGCAGTCACTCATCAGAGTAAAGAATTCCTGATTAAACAAAAGACCTATCCAAAACTCATTGGCCGAAGATTGGCCAAGCAGCTCCGCATCCTGACAGAGGATTCCTAGCGAAGACACTTCTTGAAAGTCACTTTTCCTGCGAGATTGTACAATATTTTCTTATTATGCCTAAATGTAATGCATCGAGGAAAAAGGAAGGAAATTATTTAAAAAATGACTTATGGTACAGTTTATTTAAATTAACTCCGCATCCAAGAGAAATATTAATAGATTATTTTTTTTCACTATCTAAAACTGAGTTGAAGCTAAATTTGATGTTTCCTTCACTTGGATCAAAGAAAAGCTTCCACGCAATGGAATGCTGACTTGTAACATCGATGATGTTTCGACAAAGATGTACTCCTTGTCTTACAAACGGATACCAAGATATTGGTGTACCAGGGACTATGTCTTTGGTGGGGCCTGTAGATACCATAGTATTATTGTCAAGTTGCCAGTCTACCCACAAAGCTATACCATTGTACTTTCCAGTCCTAGAAATATTGAAAAAATCATAGAGTTAATAATTTAATCTTGACTTCAAAAAATATCCAATTGAAAGAAAAAAAACATACGTTAAAATAGGAACCGGTGAAGTGTTTTGCAGCTCAATGTAACGATACTCGTCTACACTATCATAGAAATCCACTTCCCATAATTTAAAGGGGAGACTGAGAGCTCGACCAGGGTATTCCCAAAGTGGCTGAGCTTCCACCGGGGCATCGCTAATGTCACTTGACTTTTGAACTAACTCATCGAACAATGCGACATCAAAGCCTTCACATGTACCGAGAGGTGCGCGAATTTTTTGAAGATCTTTGAACTCGACGGCGATTCCCCAAATGGTCATTCCAGCTGGAATCCTTGGAATTTCAGGTGGATAATTTCTCATAAAATACCAAAACCGAAGATTATCCCATGGTAAAATGGAGAGTACAAAGTATGGCTCTCCAAAAATAAGATCCACCTTTTCTGCACAGTCCTGTATTGATTGGACGATTTGAACCTTATCGGTTAGTCCATTTGTATCCACGAAACTTTCCATCGTTCTACGAGACAAATTATTATCCTCCAAAAGAATAACTTTTGCACCCAACTTAGCCACTGCTAGAGCTAACAGACAACCGTCTGTAAGACACAGACAAGTATAATTCGGCTTAATGTGCTTCTGCAAAACTTTTAAAAATTTTTCATTACGTTCCTGGTCATTCAGCTGTCCGATACGTGACCTCGAATATGCTATATGCAGATAACAGTCACACACCGGCCCCTGACGGATCACACTCTGTACTCTGAAATTGAATATATTTTACAGTATCTGTAAACGGTAACTAATATTGGAAAAAATTACTTGAAATAATTCTCAAGAATTTTGTGGCATAGACTCACTTCTCTTCATTCTCTATGTGAAACCACAGAGAGTAGTCATCATGTGATCCAACTAGAGTTACCTCTTTATCTATAGAAATTGGAACTTCGACAGGAGGATAATAAATTGCCTGTAACCAGTGATCTCTCCAAGGAATCTCTTCTGCGAGTTTACTCAAACTTGCACCTTCAAGTCTTTTTATTTTTGCTTCAGGTCTTGCCCATACAGGTGCACAACTGAGAAGAATCTACAAAATCCCAAGACCTTCCATTATATTACACTGCTCTTTTCAGTTTTTTGTGTGTAGAAAATTTTACCTGTCCCTCAGTGTCCATCTCTAAATCCCACCAAACGAGAATTGCATGTGCCATTCCGGTAGCGATTGGCTTGACATGCAATGCTATCATTTCTTTAAGTTCCAAAGAAGTTTTGCTAGACCAGTCAAACCTATTAACGTAAAAAAATTTAATTACGCAACAACTTTACATCTCTGAACAAAATTCATACTTAAAAATTGTCTGTGGTGGAAGTAGAGGAGTGAATGAATCATAGGGTATCTGCGTCAGTTGTACATCGTGTACAGCAGACGATCCAGGGCATGTTTCCATAACTGGTGGTGGGACAATTGTACTATCCATGACACCGATAGAGTTTATCCTATTCCAGGACCGAATACTAGGACTCTCGACTACTTGTGCCCATAGAGTTCCATTATTTGGCACAACAATACTGCCTTCCTAATATACCACAAGTATGATACAGACTTCATTTAAATATCATCTTTCGTAAATTATACTTTAATAAAAGACAATATGCGAACCTTACTTCTAGGAGCTCCTCGTGTGCATGACGGAATGTCAACAATGCCCCTTCTCCAATTAATTCGGTATCAAATACTTCCGTAACTAAAATATTAGCTCTTCTGGCCATATCCTTTCCAAATCCAACTGTCATCTTAGTCGACCTCTTGCGTATTAATTTTATCTGTTCTCCAAATCCATTTCTTTCAATGATTTTTGATGCACAATTAGCCATGGGTCTAAATGCCTGGACAGTAAAGAAATAATTCATAAAAATTATTTTACAAACATTTCAATAATAGGATAATAAATAAGTTAAAGACCTCGCAAGCTGTGACAGTATCTGCTCCACACTTTGCAGCCATCATCGCCAATAATCCTGTACCTGTTCCGATGTCTAAGACGTGTGCCTCTTCTCCCGATTCGTGTTTCTTCCTAATTGCAGCCTTTAGAGCTGTGTAATATTTTTCATTCTGGAAAATGAAAAATTCAACATAATCGTATTAAACCAGTTCTACCACACAAATCTCTCAGTGGGTCTGATTCTTACTCTTTCTCGATCATGCAGCATATCTGCGAAAGCTGTTCTGGCTATTTCCTGGTAGAAATCATAATCGGGGTGTTTCTCTTCCCAATTGGATTCCCCTGTTATTGGGTTCAAATATCGTGTAAATACGCTCATTCTTTTAACTGTATAAAAGCACCGAAGAGCAAATGGAGCAAATGTCAGCATGTATATACTGGACAACAATTCCAATGTTTTTTCATTCACGTGAATTATACAAAACCAATATTCAAATGTTAAGGAAAAAGTAAAAAATCAGTGCCTAATAACAAAAGAATGCTCGCACGTGCCCCAACCCGACATATAGGTTATTTCTTGTCGATAGGTTAGGAAGTCATTTTTTCTTGTGCATTGGAAACATAATAATTGAAACCTTCTGGGGGTCTACTACGTTGAGTTCATCTCTGGTCGAACACCCGCGGGCTATCTTACGACGAGTTTGCACCGAGGCTTAACGCGCAGCTCGGGGCGCATCCATAGACTATCGGCCAATAGGAATGAAGCGTTAAGCGCAGCCATAATCGGCGTAACCGCGCTCAATTCAAATATTGTTATAAAAATTCACGCCAGAAAGTTAATTTAAAAGTACGTTCTAAAAGTAAAATTAAGGGCGTGATGATTTAATCCACAGGAAATTAGTCTGACTATTAAATGTTAAGCTTATTCATTTATTACAGTAATCGGAAAATAGAACACTAGCTATTGATAGGATCGAATGGAATTCACCAATGAGATCGTCTTAATTGGACCAATCAACAACCAGGGTAATTGGAAATGCAGCTCGCTTCTGAATACCGTTTTAAAATTTTCAGTCCATTGAAAACGCCATATTTTTTATGCAAATGAGTTTAACATTGCACACACATAGCGAGAAGTGTAATTTTGACATTTACGTTTCGAATCGACCGAAGTGGAAATTACGAGGTAATGTTATAGAATTTCTTTGTAATAATTGTTTTTTAGATTATCAACTATACTCGTGTCCTAATGTCTGTTAAATATTTATTGTCGAATATAAAAGGATGCAAGCGGGGCGAGCCGAAACATCTGAACGCAGATTTGAGATAGAATGCAAGTTAGAGGCGGAGATAGCAGCATTAGCTGCTTTGAAGGAAGCAGAAGATCGTAGCCGTAAGTTGACGAGTGGCATGCTAGCGATCTTAACGTCACTGGAGCAGAGATTGGCTACGCTTCGAAGGACGATACTTCCAGTATACAATGAGACTGGCAACCTTCAATCTCAACAGCACAGTAATTATTTTTGTTTGATATAAATTTCTTTATATGAGCTAAATTATATGACGTGAATTATTCTATACAGACATTGAAAGGACCTTGACGGTATTAGATCATGCAATTGGGTACTATGGAGTCTGTCAAGAAGTGGAAGGAGCGGTACGGGGAGGGCCGAGCGGAGCAGGTGGTCTGGATGGATTTTTGGAAGCCATGAATCGCCTTTACAATGCTCAAAGATACTTTCAAAAAAATAATCCTAGCTCGGTAGAGCTGGAGAATGTTTCGACGCTCTTTGGCATTGGATTGGAAGCTCTTTATGCAGAATTCCATGATATTCTAGCTAGACAGAGTAAACCAGTGCTACCGATCGTTCTGCTAGATCTCATAGGCTCGGATGAAGATACCAGTACAGAGGATTCTCCGCAATCGCTTTGCCAGCTGCCTGAGAGTAGTTTGGGAGATTTGGTTAAGATTGCTGGATGGCTAGACGAGAGAGGACACCGAAGGCACGCGAAGATATATGCTTCTGTACGATCGTCAATAGTTCTACGTTCCTTACAGCTATTAAAGGAGCACCAAAGGAGTGCCAGCGGTGGGAGCACTCATGCCGGCAGCCCCATGCCGGTAACTTCCCCTTTTTGTAGCTTGAATACTTAATTCCTCAAATTTTAAATTGGAATTTTAAACTGATTTTTTTTATAACAAGCGAGCCAAGTTTGCTAATCGACACGCTATGGCAGTGCAAGAAAATGCTGGGCGAAGAGCCTCACGTCGTCTCCAGCATGCTTTGGAGAAGAAAGCAAGTAAAATGTTAATGAAGGCCTCGCAAACTACTGGTTTGGGTATCTCGTTTCCCAGTTCAAGGAAACCCACTCCACAACCACTGGGGTACGCAACAGAAGATGCTGCTCCAGATGAACAGGAAATGGAGAATTATCTCTTGCTAACAGCAGGACTACATAAGTTGCTGCAGGCAGAGCGAGCCTTGGTGGCCCGTATTCTACCAGTAACGTTAGAGCCTCAAGTCTTAGAGGCTACTGTTCGGGATGCAATGGATCTAGTGGCTCATGACGGTGAGAGCATTGCAACTCGTGCAAAGCGCTGCATAGCGAGGAAAGACTTCTCCGCAGTTTTAGTGGTTTTCCCCATTCTGAAACACCTCGGAGAGCTCAAGCCTGATCTGGAAAGAACTGTCGAAGGATGTGATTACACCCTCAGATCAAAATTTGCATCGGTGTTAAATACATTGAACGCCACTGTAAGCATTTAATTCCGCTCATAAACTTAATCATAGATTTAATTTCATTTTATTTTTCCAAGGGAGCGAAAGCTCTAGAAGATTTTGCTGAGAGTGTTCGCAATGATTCTACAGTGGCCTTGCCCAAGGATGGCACAGTTGCCGAAAGTACGAGCAATGTCCTCGTCTTTTTAGAACAATTGGCGGAATATGCGGATACTGCTGGGGCAGTCCTACGAAGGAATGACACCGATGGAACCCCCCCAACGAAAGAAATGGAGAACACTCACAGAGTTCTACTAGGAGTCTACGTTAGTGAGTATTTTCTTTTCAAAATGGTTTGTAGATATTTTTTTCTTATGTTTTAATTTACGTACTGTAATTATAGAGAAAGTGCTGGCACAGTTAAACCTCGCACTGGTGAGTCGGAGCGATGCATCTTACTCCGACCTCGCATTGCGAGCCCTATTTCGTCTCAACAACCATAATCACGTGGTAAATGCATTGCGACGTAGTTTATTGATGGAGCTTCTGCTTTTGGCCGAGCCTACGGCCGAGCAGACCTATCAAGATCTTTTATCCCGAGATCGTACGAATTACGTGGCAGCAACTTTCTCCAAGGCAAGGATGTACCTCGATCAACCTCCAGACGAGCCTGGTTAGTCTGCATAAATTATGCCCAACGAATTAGAAACAAACCGGTCTACTTTTAATGGCCATTTACCTTTGCATTTTCAGAGCTGGGCTCAAAGGTTCTTAAGGAGAGGTTCTCCGGATTCACGAGGGAACTCGAGGAAACCGCAAAATTGCAACGATCTTATTCGGTCCCGGATGCACGCTTAAGGGCAGAATTGCGCTCCGAATTGCAACGCGCAATAATTCCACCTTACAGTGCCTTCCACGATAAATATCGAGGTACCGCGTTCTCAAAGAACCCGGCGAAATACATCAAGTACACCCCGGATCAGGTGTCCTCCGTAATAAGAACCTTCTTCGACACGGCTGCTTAATCGCAGTACCACAAAAATTATAAACTAAGATCCACAACGGAATATGTGTAACAAAGTTCGTAAGACACAAAAAATCTCGATGGCAATTTTCGAATAAAGTAAGACGTCAAGCATTTAGGAGTTAAATATTAAACATTCTAATACCACGGGTGTGCGGAAATGAGAGAAACCCGAAGACGGCGTCTCATCGCGAAATCCACGGAAAGCAACAGTCCACTTAGTAAACACCCATTTTAATAAAGCAAATTTAGTTACAATATCTATAGTACTTAACGACGGACCGAGGCTCTCGTATTCCCGCCACGCGGGATTGCACGTGCTCGACCTGCGGCGGATTACACATCTCTTTTTCTCGGGAGGGGCACGACGGCCGCGGCCCGGTCGAATTTTATATATATTTATAATATATATATAAAAAACAAGTAACGTTCGATTTAGAGTTCGATTAGTGGCTTATACGCATAAGGTGACAGTAACGGCACAGGCCACCGAGAGAAGAGCTCCCACATGATTTTCTAATCTCTTTTCACGGAGCCGATGCTTTAGTCAGTCGTAAATTTCCCCAAAACAAACATCATCGAATGACTCCTTCACATTCTCCACTCGTAACCTCTAATTTAAACAATAATCCAATTACATATAGTAATCATCCTGCGCTCGGTATACAAATTGTAGATGAGAATCGTGGCTCGATTCCATTAATCGGTGGCTCAGAAATTTTCTACAGTACCTCACCCTCTTGGGTGCCTGCGCCAGTAGGAATAAGTTTTGTTTTTGTGGTTTTCTTTTAGACTCCAGCAATTATTTACAATTATTTCCTATGCCTTTTTTATCTCCAATTGCGCCCTTTTCCATGCGCACATTCGCTCATGCACTCACACTGTAATTTTCCCGTTTGTACGAGAGTCCCTCGGCAGCCACGACCATATTTACTTTTCGGGAATGTTTTCAGGACAGACAGACCTTGTTTAACAAAGCGTCGATTTTACATTCATTTTTGCCATTAAAAACCCATGTAATTCCGTGGCTTATTTTAACAGTCTTGCCCCCGATAGTTTGAGGTCGAAGTTGAAACTTCGACTGTACATGCACTAACGTATAATGGCTTTGCGAACATTTTCTGGTAATTTCTGTCAATGTAGATTATTAACGTACTTGCGTTTCGCATTTTCCTCTACACTTAAAATTAGTTTTGCTAGGTGCTTCTTAAGAACTCCCCTCGTGTATCCTTCGTTATCCCCGTCAGTTTGCTTCGGTTTCGAATTTATCACCTGGGTAGCAAAGTTGCCCCGTTTTGTGCGCGGACGTAAAAAAGAAAACCTGAAGCATTAACGTTACGCATTCTGAGTTTGACAGATTACAAATTTCTGTTGCACTCGATAATTAGCACTGAAAACTGTAGCACATCCAAATTCATGTACTGTACATTTATATCCGTACAATTTCAGTCGCCAGTCGTACCGTACATTCAATTTCAATTGCTAGTCCACTTTGTGCCAGTTACCGAGTACAGTTGAACATAGCAATTTGTTGAAATGATGTTAACGAAGCAATATTTTAACATTGGCTTAAAAGATTGCTTAGGTCAGTGTGGCGGAGGGAATATACTCGAAGGTAGTCAATGGACGCAGACATTCTCGAATAATCTCTCTCTCACGTATACCTAGAACTTACACGGTCTATTCTTAGAGCTTGGTAATGTGTCTCGTAATATCTCGTTACCGTTCATTAATAATAGTCGTTAATAATAATATTAATTAACATACTCTAGTGCACTGTACACATTGGGTCTTGGAGTCCTGAATAGCCCCCTGTGATCGTATCAAGGGAGCTTCACAGGGCCTGTAGTTGAAAACTCCAGATGATCTCCTAGAGTGGTCCGAAAACTGCGAGGAGACGGAGGTGCCACGACGAGGTCTTCTCTCTTGGTAGCAGAGCCGACCTCGGGAGAAGTTCTTTCCCAGAACGTCCTTTCTGAGAGAGCAGTTCCCTCCGCGGTTTCGTTCGTCCAAGAGTCTTCCTTGTGCGCTTCCAGATATGTTTCGAAGGCTCCGGAGAGCTTCGACACCGATAGACCGAGTTCTCCCGAAGATAGAGTTTCGGTCCCTGGTAAATCGGAGAGTGCTGGTATGGAACCAGGTACATGGACCAGGATAAAGGCTCCGATGGGATAAACATCGAGTGGACTGGGAAAATTCGAAAAGCGGAGGGCGGACGCGCTGGTAATTAAGGATCGAGTTTAATATTATAGGAGGCAACACTTGCGTTTGGGCTTCACCTGAAGCGCTGGACATAGGACCGCACGTATCGCTTCGTCGAACACAGTTTTCAGGCCCTTTTGTGTTAATGCTGAACATTCCAAATACTTTACGGCCCCAATTTCCTTTGCCATGGCTAGACCCTGAGCATGGATATAGAAAAGGATATAAAACATTAATTCTAATAAACATATGAATCAATTAATCTCTGTATACTTCATCTTATTTATGATATATTTATGACATTCAAATTCAAAATCTCACCTGTGGATAGGTTATAGGAGCGAGTTTCTTGTCCTTGAGTCTCTCGATCGTTTCCTTGTCCTCGCGCAGATCGAGTTTAGTGCCGACGAGGATGATAGGTGTCAACGGGCAGTGATGGCGAACCTCCGGGAACCACTTGGCCCTGACATTCTCAAAGCTAGCAGGGTTGACAAGCGAGAAGCAGATAAGAAAGACGTCAGTCTGAGGGTACGAGAGAGGCCTCAGCCTGTCGTAGTCTTCTTGACCCGCGGTATCCCATAGTCCGAGATTAATCGGCTTCCCGTCAACCATGACATTCGCCGAATAGTTGTCAAAGACCGTGGGGATGTACTCTCCAGGGAAGGCATTGGTCGTATAGCTGATCAAGAGACACGTCTTACCGACAGCCCTGGAAACGAAAGGAAAATTTCAGATGTGGTTCTTAAAAGCTCTACGAAGTGCAGGTGCATTGCAGAGTCAGCTAACTAGAGCAGAGCCGACCCCACGCCACGCCCGTTGATAAACGAACACAATTCCTCCCCGAGTTAAAGGAAAAGTCACAAATAATTGCGAAACAACTCCAGAGGTCGCAGAAAATAACCGAGCCATGCAACCGATACACAGAGCAAGAAAAACGAGATACGACCAACCCTACTGCGAGCATTCGGATGGCCCGATTTTCCGAGTCAGTTTTGGAGACTAAAAGCGAGAATTCGGCCCTTCTTACCCGTCCCCGACGACGACGCACTTGATGGCCTGCATGCTCGCACCCGTGAACCGCCGAAGAATTCCGAAATTCCGTGATCCGTGGAAATTCTTGGTGGACTCGGGAGAAGCGGCCGTGAGGACAAGGAACGCGCGCCTCCGTGTGTGTGCGTGGGAACGAGAGAGCCGACTACGCGATCCTAAGCGAGGGAGAGAGACGGAAAGCGCGCGGAAAATCAGAAGGAAGGACCGAGCTCCGGGTGGCGGAGAGTAAGACGGACGATACAAGATGGCGTCGACTGGACAAGGACAGAAAGTTACGGGACGCGGGACTTGGAATTATCCTCTTCGAGAATGCCTCATAAGCTACCCCCTCTATGTTCCTCGAGAGACCATTCGGTCTCTTTCACTCTCATTGTATCCATGAGTGCGACGAGGACGCTCTTATGGTAACTAAACTTGCGGTCTCTCACTTCGTCTTTCTTAATCAGCAGTTCGCGGCGTCCAATAGACGGCGATTTGGCCTCGATTTTAATGCCCAGCCATCCGATTGGTCGTTGGGTTATGTGGCAAGTCTGAGCGTGATTGTTAGATGGCGCGAAGTAGCAGGTGCGGTAAGGGATTAACCGAGAGACCGATGTGTGAATCTTGCACCTGGGCGTCGTGTCGCCCTCTTTGCTCTAGTACGTAAAAAAGGACGGAGAGGTCTCCCTGCCAGTCGAGCGGGACAATAGAATCGGAAAGCCGCATTGACCTAAACTTCGTTATGTGACTAATGGTATCTCGATCGCTCTTATCAAGCGGATTGCGGCTGTCTCTCTTCACCTCGCGGATAACGATAGTGTCAACGAGCGAAGGAGTGGAGTAAGAGCTCTCACGTGCGACAGAGAGACGGTTCGGTAAAATAGGAAGAAGCGTCGAAAGAGACGGAGACCGCAAAATGGCGGAAGGAGGAGAGAGAAAAAAGATGGGGCGCACCCTCTTCCTCGTGTTTCCCTTCTAATTAGCGTGACGTGTAGTAGCTCCTTTGTCAACCTCTAGTGACACGTGTCACCCTTTGCTAGAAAGAAGGAAAACACGTGGAGTCGCAGAATTTCATTTCATTAACCACTCCTCTTTTGACAAGAAAAATTAACACTTGACATTTCCTAATTTACGAAGAAAAGAGAGAAAAGGTATTAACAATTACAACTACGTATCAGTCGTTAAATTTACGACGAGGAACTATTTAATTTAACGTTTTGTTTCATCTCTTTTCGGGGGGTTTTAGTATTCGAAAATATCGAATATAGGAGAAACGTTTGGTTAGGTACTTCGAGCTCCTATTGGCTGAGTGGGGGAGTGGTCTAACGGAATCGGCCAATCAGAAGGCTGCATGGGGGTGGGCGGTAATGGCGCGAACGCGAGGCACGTCAGGACGTTGCAGCTAAGTAGATGGCCGCCGAGGAGGTGGACGAGTGAAGTTACGCAGAGGGAGAAAGGGAAAGAACGAGTTAAGAGATTCCTTGCTCTATCGTAGGGCGCGCTAGTAAATGACGTCACTGCTCGCTGAGTAACACAGCACTGACGAATCGCGTGACAAAGACTTCGCAGAAATATGGCGCATTCTGATCGCAATTTGCTGACCGGGTCGACAAGAGTTAAGTCATTGAATTGCATTAAAAAGTATTGCTCCCGTTTAATTCCTTGCGATATTAAACATTAAGTCAAGGGAGAATCCTCGCACGTAGAGCATAGAGAAAAAAAAAATGGCAAGGCATCTTCGACTGTCGGCGCGTTTTCTAAATTTCTGCAATCGAGCCGACACACTTTCGGGGAGAATGTAAAATGATAATCGACCGTCTGCAGCGGAAGCGATCCGTTCTCCATCGCAGTCATCGCATGGGGGAATGAATAAAAAAATCAAAGTAAATTTAAGGCACCGTTAATCGCAAGTCGGTCACCGCGGAGCCTCCATTCTCTCCTTTGCACTGGTCACCCTTTTCAATTTTAGGGACGGAATGGAACGACCCTGGGAAACGAGAAATCATCGAAGCAAGTGAACGCATCGTCGACAAGTGGACCTCGATTTAACGGAAACCCACTTCCTGGACGAAAGAAGCAAGCGCATTTAACATCGAGTCCTGCAATGTCGAAAACAAGCGATACTAAAAATTAGTAGTTATTAATTAGCGTTGCTCTTATCCAACGACATTCCGCTTGGCTCCTCTCTCTAACTCAGAACGGAAGTTCCGACAACTCGTGAGAAAATTGAATTCGTAGTTTCGAGTCTTTTGTTCGGACTCGCGCGCCGCTCGATCCGGTTACTGAACCCTCTCATCTCTCCCTGCTCTTGTTGGGAAAGTTCAATGACATCGCAACGAGAGCAGTAATTCAAGCGGAATGAATCGAACGAGCCAATTATCATCTCGGCGAGCGATGCCGCGCGGATCGTTGCGTCGGCAATTTGCCAAAAAGCCGATACCTCGGTGTTCAAAAGTCGACTTATCGCGAGGAACGATCCGCCCGGGTGTCGCAACGATTTTTAACAGGTGCTTCTAAATTCGAGCCGCGGAATGCATGTAGCTACACGAGCGGGGAATGCGGAAACCGTTGCGAAATTCCATGTTCGAAGACACGCGCCCTGTCGATCCGCTATCGGGACCGGGAGGGTTCGTCCTTCCGCTTTTGCACGCACGCGTTAAAACGGAATCGCGTGCCAGGGCGGAGGTGCGTCGACATGCGCGATGCGAGGTACCGATCTCGCGTGACAACTTGTCGCCCCGTGTAATTCTAAGCCGAGAGTCGATTTTTGCATGATGCAGAAATACCAGCCGGCCATTTTGCAAGCCGTCTCGGATGTCCACTAAGGACGACAACTTTCCGAACCCAGGGCCGAAACTTTCTCGAGGCGAGTCAAAGAAACGAGGGAAGAAAAAAATGCCGATCTCGAGTTATACTACCGAGTGGCATTTCGAAAGAGCGCCCTAGATTGCGGTGATAAGCGGTGCACTCCTGGGCAACGACCGGAGGGCTTGGAAAACCCGTAAGAAATTGGAGCTCCTTAAGAGAAATCATTTTTTTTTTTTTTTTTTCTAGAGAGAGTATATGTTACATAAATGCATTTTGCAGGTCTCGATGTGCCATGCTGCCGGCCTGATATGAGGTTTAACGTCCACGTTAAAGGACTCTCACTTCGCCCACGTGATGTGAAAGGTGTCTTCATAATGTAAGAGTGGCCGTCACTTTTTAAATCGCTCAATTTCACGGCGACCTTTTTCGGACTGCATTCAGATTTCTAGACTTCTCGACGTGCACGTAGAATAAAACTTGGAGACCGTTTGCTCATTTTAGCGAGTTTAGAATAATCTGACCCCGACGTTGAGTGAGGTCGACGTGGAATTGCTTGGCGAAATGATCGACCTTATCGCGGGCCTTACTAAGCAACTCTTAACAGCGCATTTGTTCTGTCTTTGCAGGGAAGTGCACCTGTACATAATCTGATCTCGTTACTTCTTCGGACCCTCTTCAGCCTACCGTCAGTTGTGGTTGCGGTGGAGTCAGTGAAATGATTTCAAAGGAACAACGTCGACTCCTCCAGAGCCTATTCTCTGTTCAACGGAGCGATCATCTGGGCCGGATAGTTGCCTTCGGCAGTAAGGAACTCTAGAATCGTCTCCATAAATCGGGCAATTGTTTTTGCTCGACGTTGGGCGATCGACCGGAAACCGATACCTCGGATGGCGATCGAGTCGCCGTTCAAAGGAATGCATTTCTCGTTTTTTCCACCAGGAGACGAGGCACCGCCCGTAAACGTTAACACCGTTTCACGGCTTCGTTTCTTCCTGCCTGCGATATTCGTGCGGATTTTTCTCCCGATCTTTTGTACGTGCCGCGAAAGCCTGATTACGGGTTACTGGAAAGTCAAGGGTACGATTTATCAAGGTATCATTTATTACAGGGGGAGGATAATAATTCAGTGCGGTTAATAAAACAGGAGGGTAACGCTGAGGTCAGGTGAAAGCAAATCAATTTACCGGCCCCGCGAGAGCAGGCCGAGTTTTCGACGCACATAAACGCAATTGCATTTGCGGAGGAGCGATTAAAAAACGAGGAGAAAGAAAGAAAGGAAAAGGGTGGTCGGCGCTCCCGAGACTTTCTTTGAACTCGACGACCTCCTAGCCGACTTCGACTTCCTCGATGATCCCTCCTCGTTTTTTACTCGTTCTTCCGGCAAGAGACGGGAAAATAAATTGAGCCAGCGGCCACAGTACTTGTATATTAACGCGCACTCTGCATTCGTAGATGAAGTCACAATTCGGCTTCCTGGAGTGACCGGAGCCGATTTTCCCAGATCAGACCCCGTGCGAAAGGACTTTCATCTTCAGCAATTTCCTTGGTGGTCGAGCTACCTTCACCAAGTGGAAAGCAGGATTCTTTCCCTTCACTGGACCGGGAGGTGGCTCGTTAATTAGTCCTGGAAGAGTTCGGTCTGGATCTACAATATTTCTTGAATGCCGTGACTTCCTGCATAAGTGATATCAGAAGCTTTGCGTAATACAGATGGTAGATAATCGGAATAACTTTTATGCATGATAGATTTATGTAAAAAATTCGCGTGTCATCGAGAATCAGGAAAGTTCCTCGTTTGCTTGCTAAGGAATCGGAGGGACTATGTGGGATTAATTATCCAGATCGTTGTGCAATGTTCGTGCAGTCGTGACGAATATGCGAGTACGGAGACGTCGTATCGCATTACCTGATAGCTTCGTCATGGGTATTAATTTACGAGATATTTTCGCTGATGCAGAAAACGCTCCGGGAGAGGAAAAATCGGGGCCGGACATCAATCGGCGATTCATGCTCCTCGGAGAAGAGGAGGGCCCACGGATCCGTTTCCTTCGGACTTCAGGGCCCCGAGGTACTGGATCTCTCATGCAGTCGGACGAATCGTGCCGCGTTTGAGGAGATCGGAGATAACGTCGGAATAAATCTCGCTGACAGCCCACCCTGAAGACAAGGATCTTCGAAGACCTCTTCTAGCACTTTCCCGTTTTTTACTCCACTTCCAGGACCCGTCCAGACCTCGGATCGACGTTTCTTCTATTTTTTCCCGGTCACTTTCGAGGCCGCTGACGAGGGTCTTCCGTAGGAGGGTCTTCCGATACCCCGAGGAGGCTGCTTAGAAAAGAGGAGAAGATATTAGAAAGGCTAAAAAAACCTGAAAGAAGGTACGAAACGTCCACACATGTAATACTAACGCACGATACAGTTAGTTAATACTTGGGAAATTACAGCCGAGGATGTGGACTTTTTACTTTACGTTGGAGGGAGCAAAAATCCCGGCTTCTTAATGGAGTCTTCAAAGGCGATCGGCGTTCACGAGAAGCGCCTCCAGAGTGGGAAACGGAAGGCGAGGCATGTTATTTTAAGATTATTAGATGATCCATGAGAAATGGGACCTCGAGGAAGCTGCAGCTGATGTTGCTCCGTTCATTGTATATATGAATGGTAAACCTCGGGTAAACTCAGCTTTGCAGCCTCTCTTCGCGGTCCACCAGAATCAGAACCTCGATTCACCGAGCATGAAATCACCGAAGTGCTCTCCTTCGCAGGGATCTGCTTAACCGACCTGCCTCGGTCGGTACCGCCTCTTCCTCCACGTCCTCTCTTCCGTCCCATAACTGAAAAAGAGGTGCTTCAAAGGTGCGTTAAAATATATCAGACTATCCGATGAACGGTTGAAATAATTTCATCGATAATTTCCAAACTCTGATTTCCCTTCAAACTTCAGGTGCTGCCCCCTAGAAGAGGTAACGGAAGAGGCGACATTCCGATACGGGTGTTTTTTTTATACGTTATTTGTTTCCACCTTCAGCTCCATGAAGAGCACTTCCTGTCACTTACGAATCGCCGATCGACAGGGAATCAATTGTGCGAAATCGATCACCCGAACGTGTTGATTTATGTCCAAGTCGCAAATGTCCATGTTGAGCCGCTTCACGGATAAATAACGATCCGATTGTTGGATGGAAATTTCTAACGAGTCGGTGAGATTCGAATCGCCTAATTAACATTTGAGATTTATTAACGCACTTTTCGAGTCCGCCGACCGCGGAAGTGAGACGTGCTCCTGGGTTGGCGTTTCTTTCTCGATAAAAACAGACCGCGGCTTGTCAAATCGAAATGTTTATGCCTCCGCTGTCTTTGCCGTGAATTTATTGACGGCTTATCTCGTTCGAGAAATCCACGTACGTCGCGTTTATTTTCTGCGTGTTTGTATTTACGGGCACGAGCGCATCGTTTCCTGGACATCGATTTCCGGATCAATGGGGCTCGATTGTGGAGAATCGATCTCGCGATTGTCGGCACCGACAAAGGGAAAGGTCGATACCGAAAAACCGATCCGTTACGGACATCTGGACATACGCCGTTATTTGGCGCGGTTCAAATCGTTCGTATCCGAGGTCGACGACTTCCTGAAGACCGCTTCCTCTTCCAGGGCTGTTCCTCGATTTGTTCCCGCAGATTCTCTCCGGTCAATTCGGCAGAAAATGTTCCCCGAAAATCTCCTTATCCTCAACTTGGAATTTTTTTTAATTCCATCCCACATGTCTTGTGACGTCACCGGAGAACGCCATTAATATAAAAATTCCGTTTATTGTCATGTTCTGTATGTTGGGATTTTTTTAGTGAAAACCGAGGCTACTTGTATGTCTTTTTTTCAGGCTGCGATGGTCGCCATGTTGGGCTGGTCTCTCTCACGGGAGCACTTTCTCGGAGAAGTTCGTGGTGCCTAAGGACTGTCAAGTGACTTGGGGACTTGCACTTGGAGTTCACCCAGCGATGCATCACGTCCGATTCGAGGAGCCCGGCCGGCCGTGACTCGAATCAGGACCGTCACTTCGAGGGACAAGTGACCAGAAGATTAAGAGGCCATCTACAAAGTTCCCTACTTTGTCGCCCATCCGAAACTCCACGTGAAGGCAGATAAGGAGTTATCAACTCGGAAGGAGATACATCAAGAGAATCGTAATTCGTTGAGGAAGAGGTGAACCTTCCTTGCGGGAAGCTTTTTGTAAAGTATATGAGAATATCTCCAGGAAGAAGGAGATAAAGAAATGACCGAGAAAATTAAATGTTTTCTTTATCTAGACTTGGGAAGGATGATTTTACATGATATCTTGCAGCGCAACGGTTCCGCCTGCATTTTGGGAGCAAAAAGACCGGCTGCGAGGAGACGGTTTCCTCCTCCTTCCGGCATTATGTAGAGCAGCCATCGAAACTGGAGTAGAATTTCATTACATCGCGGAGTAAAGGGTGGCGGAGTAGAGCGGGCCTTGCGTATCGCGCTTCCACTCTTTACGAGGCGAGTTCACGGGTAGAACGCGATGAAAACGGCAGTCGCATGCGGACCAGCCTGCTGCAACCACTGGGACAGGCGGACTCATCGGTGCCGACCAACCGACCACCGGACCAGTTCATCCTGGAGTTCCCAGAGAAGATTGAACTACCTAGTTCCTTCGAAAACAATGTAAAATCACGGCGGACTGCCTAAACACTGCGACAAGTGGAGCCCGGAAATTCGCCGACCCTGAGGATGATCTTGAAGAAGAGCTGAAGATACGATAGACTTTTAAAGACAGTCTCCGAAGGGTTCAAATTTGGAGGACGATGCTTAGAATGGCAAAAAAAATATCCTGAGGCGTCCCGACCTTGAAGAACCGAAAGATAGCGGAGAGCTCCCGAAGAAGACCGTGATAATGTTGTCGAGTCGTAAGAGAACCTCGAAGAGTGGAGTCGTAATCCGATCTTGGAAGTTCTAAAGGGGGTATCCTGAAGAGAGATAACCTTAGGACCTCCGAGAAGCCCTCTCGAGTCACGGCCTTGAGGAGGACCCTAAGGAACGCCGCGAAGGGATCTTGAAGAGTCCTTGAAATTCTTGGACTGGAGAGGTTCTCGAAGAAGCGTCATTTTTCTCCGATAAAGGGGATCCTCGGAATCGGATTTTAGTGGGGCGAAGGAAGAGTGATCCTGAAGCCGTTCACCCTGAGGACCTTTTCTGCGAGATTTCTCTTACGAAGAGTCGGAGGAGTAAGGTGTGACCCATTTTGCCCGATCTCCTTCCTGGATCGTTCGTCTCGAGAACGGTCGGCGATCTAGGTTTCGCGCTAAGTGGGACGTTCGAGAGGATCTCGAAGACTGGTCGATCCTGGTGACCCAATGCTTATCGTTGATTGGCTGGTCATCTAGGTCGAATGCTGATCCGGTGAACAAGATACGGAAAATGGCCGCGACCGGTATGAGGATCTACTTCGGACATGATCGAAACTCGGTCGGGAAGTGACCCTGAAGAGCCGAGGATCAAGTAGGGCTGCTCGAAGAGGGAGGTCGGGAAATTCGAGATTAAGTGGAGGGCGCTTCTAAGGACTATTTGGCCTGCTAGGATCATGATAGTCAAGGACAACATGTGGCGCCAACGTCGACTGGCCGTCCCTAAGAGGTGAGCTTATCGATAAATAGAAAATAAATATATAAATAAATTATAAGACCAAATTCTAACATCGAAACGACTCTTCAGCGTCGTGCAGATATCATATCAATCTCGTTATCGTCTAGTCCATGGAGGTTTAATTTAATTGCCATGATATCTGGCGTCTTCAAGTTCTCTACGTGTCGAGAGGAAGTCTTCAGGGAAAGAAACCACGGAAAAGAAGTATCGCGGGAAAAAGCCGGAGGCAAATCAGCGTAGAATGAGTTACAGCAGGAATCAGTACAAAGTATTGACTCAATCAGTGCTTCAGAGGGGCTGCACTTTTCTTGATTGAGCATAGCCGCGAGCGACTAATGCAAAGGTCATTTTCGCCGGTGCATCCTTGCTAACCACCGAAACATCGGACACAATTATTCCGCGATTAGTATTCATTTTAAGGAGCGCCCAAGGACGAGATTCGGAGGATCTACGGAGACGACTTCGAGAAAATCGGACGGTTTGATTAATTCGGGACAAATGGTGATTATGCGGCTGACATTTTGCGGGTCCAGAGAGAGATCTTCAAGGATAGTGCCTGCCTTTCCATTGACTTAAGGACGAAGGATCGGAAGATCTTGAGCTCGTCCTTGAGGATCCGACCGTTACCTCGTTATTCGGAATCATTATGGTAATTAATTTCCCATTAGGCGATCCTTATGTAACCGCGTCTGGGTCTTCCGTCTCTCGTCCTCGGGTTCTTGATCCTAGGAGGCGTCAGGGGATTTCTCAGCCAGGAAAAGGCTTCGTGCCCTCCTAGGAAAGTTCCTTTCTCCCTCCCCTTCTTGCAAGGAGAATGGGAAGTCACCGATATCGAACCGATAAGGGCACTCGTTAAAACGCGGATATTTAGGAGCGATGTTCCTATAAATTCGACTCCCGTTTATGACTCCGGGGAAAACTGAGGCCATACATGGAGCTTCCTTATGCACGATGGCATTCGCGGGTATCCCCTCGTAAGATCTGTTGAATCCGTTACAGTTATCCCGACTTGTCGACAATTTCTCCGGCAGCAATGCCGGAAGGACTTTCCAAAAGGGGCTTCCTTGACCGCCGCCACTTTTTCACTTCCGAGACAAATATGAATCTTTTTTTTCTTATGAATCCTCTAAATCCCAGAAATGTATATCATCTCCAGGCGAGGATAGATCTCTTTTGCAAAGGCATCCAGTGATGAATTCGGTCGCACGTTCCACTTAGGTCGGCAAAAACCGGGCAAAATTGAATAAGACGCGATTGCGCCGCAATTCTCGGGCTTATTAAAGGGTCCGCAAAATGGCCGCAATTAGCGGGGGCTCGGAACCTGGCTAAATCTCTCACAAGGAAGGGAATCTCCGGTTACGGTTAATTTACATTCCAGTGGCGAGGATCCCGTGTGAACGAGATTAACAACCCCGCCTTCTTGTCGCGCGCGTGCTCGCAGCATCCGTGACGAAATTTTCCCGGTCCAGAAGAGAGGGACTCAGGTATTTCCCGGACTTAAAGATTCAAATATAGGGAAAGGAAGCATTCATTTGAAATATAGGAAAAGGAAATATATTCTTTCAATATAGGAAACAGATATTCCTTTTCGAAATGAAAATCAGGAAGCGCCGCGTCAGTCTTCGTCACGACCGACACGTGGGATGTCTACGTTCCCGGGTTTCCTCGGACTTCTTTAAGCGCACTTAACCTCTCTTTATTTTTCCTCTCTCATGCCCGGTTGCAATCCGGGACGAGATGTACACGTAGATTACGGCCATCTCGGTGGATGGATCGAGGCGATAAGAGCCTCTCTCGAATTTTGGCTGCAACAGTAAGAAAAGAAAAAAAAAAAGGAAAAATATTGAATTTAAAATTAAAAATTCAATTTTTATATCCTAATTGAATGTTAAAGCCAAACGAATGAAGAGGTGTTCGATTTGCAGTTTTCTGGGTGTGGGGTGTTGAGAGAGAAAAAATAAAAATGGAGAATTCCCGGAGGAAGAGCGACGTCCTCCGCAGCCACGTATGCAGGAGGAACGCAGCGTCTTCCCCGTACGCTGTACCCTGACCTCGGGCAACAATCTCGATTGGCTATAGCGGGTCCGAAGCTGACCAACGGTTATTGTGCACCGAGTAACGTTGACCATAGCGAGCGTACACGAGAGCTCGTTGATTTTTTTCACCGAACCGGAAGTTGACGCGTCGAGGATCCCCCATTGTCGAGACGTCATCCCGAGCTCTCCCGAGGGAGAGAAAGAGGAATAGAAAGACAACGACCGGTTGAATCTCTCCTACTATTTTTTCGAGATCCTCAGGAGCGATACACCTCTCCGAATATCCGCAGAAAATGCGTAACAATGGCGGCCGGACGAGAGCGAACGCGAGGAGGAAGGCAAGAAGTGAAGAATTATTAAAGAGAGATAAAAAAAAAGTGGACAACTCCCGATGTCGCGGTAATTATCGATCATCTAGCCGGTTAATTTAAGAATCGTGACCGGTTAGAGACTCGCGGGTTAACGAAGTGGATCCCTCGGTCCGGATGCTGTGGTCCATTAGGCGCGTCCGTACTTTTTGCCGACTCGTAATGTCCCCGACACGCTCAAGTTCGGTATAATGAGACGGTTTACAGTTACTGGAGATATTCACGGGTTATTATACCGTCCCCGTGCGTGCGTGGAGGTGTAGGTAGGCGCGCACGCACGGGTAGAGGCGCAGCCTTTCGTGGCGTGCGACCCGCACGCGGTTCCGTAGGTAAATGTACAGACAATGTCTATAAGGGAGGAAGAGCTCCTCTCTCGAGTCGTTGACACCACTGAAAGCGTTACCGTTCGAGGGAGTCTCCTCGCGACCCGCAATTTCCTCTCCGGGGATTTTTCTCGCCGGTCTGGGGATTGCGTCCCTTCCTTTCCGCACCAGTCCCGTGGGAAAGGAATGCCGCGTCATTAAGGTCTCCTTTTGAGCCGGCCCCCTTCTTAATTATTCTTCCGGGGAGAATCGATCCCGAGGAAGGTCAGGGTTTTCGGGCGAGATGGCCTCGTCGTCTTCCTCGCGCATGCCGGGACCCCCCAGGAAATTTCTCTAGGTGACTCCTCTCCTCTATACGTTTATTTTTCGGGGATTTATACACGCTTGCGGGTTATTCCCCTGTTACTCCTGAAACGGAGGAGAAAGCTTGAACGTGATAAACCTGATATCTCCCTTCACTCGGAAGTCGATCCTCGCTCTTCTGGAGGATGTCATAAAATTCGTAAGAATTTCTTTTTTATCTTAACTTTGTACAATTTTACCGTAAATTGCGCTAGTTAAGACGTCGTTGGAAATATTTAGCAGGGGGAATGGGAACGAGTTCGCAGACTTATTCGTATTCCAATGAAGGAGAGAGAAGAGCTCGCCTCGACCTCGATCGGTTTACACCGTCGTGGAAGTTTCATTACGCGGAGTCCTTCCCGTCTCGAGTTTCCACATTCCATATCGTTTGTTATCAATTGATAAGCGTATTATAATCCGTACTCTTTCGTGGCCCGCATTCCCCCATTATTCCCGATTTTTCTCGCGCTCCAGATCAGCCCTCGTTAGCACGAAAATCAGGAATTTTTCAAGAATTCCATTTCCCTATACGGTGCATCGGTGCAATTGAGAATTTAATCGCAGCCTCTTTTGCAGATTCGGATCCGTGAAAATGCTCGAAACTACGAAGCTGAAGAGGTTTATTATCGAGATAACGCGATCGCATGTCGGTGGCCGTCCTCTTCCGGTTTCCGTAATCATACCGTGCAATGTTCGGATAATGGCGAATAGTTACATAAATGGGATTTCATTCTCGGGACGTCATTTCCCCATTTTCATCGAAGAATTCGTCAACCTGGTACAGAAAGAGAATCCCGGAGTTCGAGGTGTCTTTTAAATAAATTATAAAATAAATATGATTAATCATTTTTGTGCGAGGTGTAGTCACAAAGGGGGGGAAAGGAGAGCGCCTCCACGCATGGGAAAGACATCTTCGAGGAAGCAGGTCAAGCCGTGAAAATGTTCCCTGAGTGAAGAACAATAATTGGAATGGCAATGTCACGGCCTGATTCCGCGAGCCCAAATGACAGCCGACACGTGACACCGCGAGTTCGTTGCTTTCGTTAATTGACAATTAAGCGGCGCGCAATTAGGCTCTCCGAAGACGGGGACCCAGGTAAATGACAATTAACGTCGTTAAAAGAACGGCACCGGTAATTCGATCCCCTCTCCAGGTGTTACGGCAGGATTGTTTCCGGTGATTAAGAAACGAATCGCCGCGACTCGATAAGAGAGTCGAATTAATCGTTTTTTATGATAACGTCGACGTGATTAAAAGAAGGCTAACGGAAAATGTGACAATTAAAATTCGTCATCCTCATTTGTGACGATTAACATTTTTACTCCTCATCCGTGGGCATTCATATTTTCAATTTTTATCGTGGTAATTAATTTTTTTAAGCCTCCATTGCGATAATTAATGTTTTTCATCCTCATTTCCAGGACCAGCGAACTCGTGGCTCTGGTGGCGCTCTCGAGCACGTTGTTCCTCTTCCTGCACACGAGGGACCTGCATTCCCGACTTCGCGAGATGGAAGTGCGACTCCAACCCGGGGACGACGAGAACTTGTCGTCGAACCAGCTGTCTTCGGGTAGGAATCGAAAAACTGGTAGAATAAAAATGGCAGAATTTCATCATAAGTCGAAATGCGAGGTAGGAGAGAATCCGGGATTAGATTACGAGCTTGGAGGTCGATTCCACCAGCCGCTCTTCAGGGTCCAGGGTTCAGGGTCTCTCGAGTTCAAGGTGTGAGAGAGCCTGCAGAAACGATGCACTCGGGTGCAATGAGGTCGCGCGTGATTGCGGTCGCCGGGTCGTGCCGGCGCGAGCTTCGGGCGGCGTCGACGCATGTTTAGAAAAATTCTGCCGGCGAGACCGCACTTTGGAAAAATCGGAAAAAATTCATATCACTTCCCGAAGATCCAGTTTACAAGGGAAAAAATGTTCCCACGGGGTCGGGTACTGCCTCGCGAAGGGGAACCGCGATCTCGGGCTCGACGTCGCGGGAAACAAGAGGAGAGACGCGTAACGGCTCGGGATTCCTGGGAGTTCGTAGGTCAGGGTCCTCAGGGTTCAAGGTGTGAGAGTCTCCGGGTGCATCCGGGGCTGCACGTGCCGGTGGCTGTCGGCAAGGTGTCTGCAAGGTGTCGGCAAGGTGTCGGCAATGCGCCGAGTCGCATGCGAGGAATCGCTCAGGGAGACGTAACGGTAACGGCTCATTTGCATATAACCGTGATTCCCCTAATTAGCTAGTCCTTTTCTCGTCTCTCCACTTAGTACCGCCTGGTCCTCCTCCACTTGTTTGATTAATCAAGGATATCTCTAATTGGAGCGCTTAGCCCTTCCTTTGGTCACGAAGTCGAGCCCGGGACTCTTCCTCCGAGAAATCCGGGAAGAATCATCCCGGAGAAAAAGAGGAAAATTCAGTGACGTTTCCCGATATCTCCACCAAAACTGGGAAAAATGTCCTCACTATGAAATATCAGAAAGTGTTATAAAATATTATATACAACGTTCCCGAAGTGGAGGAAGTGCCATTTGAATTATTCTCCTCTTTCTTCGAGTTCAAGGGATCCCTGAACTCCGGAACGACGAGCGATTCCGCGAAACAGGAAATCCTGAGGAGGCCGAGGCGAAGGAGGAAGAGCCTCCGGAACTTTTCCCAGGTGCTCCTTTACGTGCCCTGAAAATTGGGCCTTGCTTAAGCGCCGTGCACACCAATTGGAGGTGCTCTGGACGAGGGGCGAACGATTACGTGGAAGTCGAGGAGGAACGACCTCGAAGATGCCCTCTTGATACCGCTTCACTTGCAGGAGAGAAAAATTTTCAAGACGATTTGACGCGCGCGGAATATATTAAAAAAAAAAAAAAAACCCGATCATAACCCTGCCATAAAATCTCCATCGACTATTTCCCTCTCGTTCGAGTTGGAAACCGCGAGAAATGGAAACTAGAAATCACGCCCTGGTTCGTGGCCGGACAATTTATGTAATAATCGAGGTGCGATCCCGAGGTGCAAGTCCGCGGCAAAAGTAGCTTCTTCTGGATTCCAATTCCATCACTTTCTCCCCGCGTGGTCGTGAATTATGAATTTATGAATTTTCTGGGCTCACCGAAACGGGGAGAAACCATGCTCACTTATCCCTCGACCCGGCGCACTTTAAATCAATTCAGCGATGATTGAACCCGTCATTAAGAATTTTTCTCCTCCATAAGCAGATTACCCACGGTGTACCTATGCACTCACCTGAGTTCTAGATAATCAGGAAGTTATGCAAACCTAATTCCAGGATAACCGCGGTAAATCCCCGGTTACGAGCCTCTTTACCGAGCGGTATAATAACGTCGGTTAAAAAGTTTATACAAGAGGAAAAAAAAAAAGAATAAAAAATATCCAGAACAAGATTCGCTTTCTAATTAGCACAGCTGCTTCTGTGTGAACTGGCCTCAATACATAATCTCACGGAGTCGGGTATTTTATTTCCGCGCCTCATAAATTATGGTAATTAACCTTCCAATGTCTAAGGAGTTCCACAAAGAAGGCTCCCAATTTTTTTTTACCCCTCGATACCCCGTGGTCATAATCAGCGATATCGATAGATGGATCTCGGACGAATCACTCCATCGATCCGTGGATCTTCCCCCGCGTCTTTCTTTCTCTATCTCGAAGCGACCTGTAAATCTCGGATAATAAGCACGATTCGCAAGAACTTCCTGGCCTTGAAGAGTCCGAAGAAGACCACGAGAGAAATCGCTTAAACTAATCGGCGCGATAAATCGCTTAAATAAATCGGCGCGATATATCTGAAGAGGGGCTGGTGAAATCTTCGCCGTAAAAATCGCGAAAACGGACGGCGACTCTCGAGGATCGAATTTCGGAGCGACTGGCAAGAGATGCGTCGACCCAGATCTCCGAAAGAGACGGTCGCGAAAGTCGCCGAAGAAGTGGCGGTCTCTCGAAAAGGTCATCCCGAACGACTCCGCAGGGTAGAAAGGCCCGAAATAAAAATGTCCGAGAGAGAGAGAGAGATAGGAAAGTGTCGAGGCAACGAGCGGAGAAGAAGAAAAAAGGTAAAAAAAGGAAGGAAAAAAGCGAGAAACTTATCGGCCTGGTTTAAGGTCCGTCACTTTTTTTCCCCAGTTCTTGCCAGGAAGAGAGGTTCTCTTCGGAGGAGAGAGAGAAAGGTGTCGACATCCTCTCTGGACCACACGCGAGGGCAGGGAAGGTTCGGAAAGAAGAAAAAAAATAAAGAAAAAGAGAAGGTCTCTTTTTCGGGTTCGAAGAAAAAAAAAAATAAAAATAAGGAGGCCGACCTCCTCGAGGAGGAGAGAGGAACGACTTGCGAAATCCGGCGAGACCTCGCCAACGAGAAACACCTTTCATGGACCGGAGTGCAGAATGCGGAATTCCGTTCCGCGTGCGTCTCGGCGCGAGAGTTGCGGTCGATCCGCATGACCTGCCGGAGCTCGCGATCTCCCGATTGTGGTGCACCTCGCCGTCCAGGTTCCCTTTCGCGAGACACCTCTCGTCAGAATCCGAGATTCTCGATCGCTTCCGCGAGGAAAGAAAAGGAGGAAAAGCCGGGGAGAGGAGGAAAACGAGGAAGGCTTTTCCCGGCCTCCTCGGTCGAAAGTGCAAGCGAAGTCTCCCCTAGGGAGGGCTCTCGAGCGCGGCTCTTCAGGGTGCTCCTCGAGATCTCTCTCAAAAATTCAGCGATGCGGTCTAGTCGAGTTTCCGATGAATTAAGCAATTTCCATCGCGAAAGGAAAGCCGATCTCTGGCAAATAGCCGAGTCGGTAACCGAGTAAGCCTCGAATTTCTCGTCGTTAACGTCGGGGCTCGGTTTACGAGGGAAACGATGTACAAAGCTGGGACGAAAAGACGTCTATTATTTGACGAGGCCTCGTTGGTCGACCCATTGGAATATCGGGATCGAATTCGGGGTCCTGGAAAATTGGGATGGAGTTCCAGGTCCTGGAAAATCCCGGTTTAATTTCGATATCCCGGAAAAGTCGCGACCGAATTCGGATCCTCCCCTGGGAGCTCTATAAATCAAAGCTCGGGGAAAAAATGCCGGACTCTCAGGGAAGAGTCAAATTGCCGGCGGTATAACCGAGTTACCGTAACATTCGAGGGGAGTTTAAGCCCCGGAGGATCGTTTTACGATCGATCTCTCGCGAGTGGATGCCTGGAAAGCGAAGTGCTCTCCTCGGGCATGCCTCTAGGTGCGCGGTCTCGGTGCGCTCTTAATAAAGATGAAAGTTCCCCGCTCTCCGCGTTCCGAGCAATTAGACGGAAAGATCGGGTTCGATGTAATCGCCTCGTTCCTTTGGCGAGTGCTCGACTGGCTTTCCCAAGTTCTGGGTCAGCGGGTCTCTCGATCCGTTCCAGGAGGAACTGCGAGTGACATGGCCCGGTTGGAGGATGGACGTGGAGTCTGCAAAGAGAAGGGTAAAAATGAGAAAAAAAAAATTAAAAGCGAAGAAGAACCGCCTTCATTAAGCTCCTCACCCTGAAGAGGGCGAGGCAAAAGCCGGGGATAAATTCTAAATAAATAATAAATAAATTTTAAATAAATTCCTTTCCAGCCTCCACTTTCATCCTCGACGATCTTCAAGGTCTCCTCGTTCCTCTCTCAAGAGGTTCCTTCTCCCGAGTGCATTTCGCAGGCTCCCCCGAAAAGGACCTCGCCGAGGATGCGATCGGAGATCACCGGATGCTGCGTGTTCGCCGGAGGCCTCGCCCCTCCTCGGCGCGGCCCGGAACACCCGGTGAACCTTGACGAACTCCGTTCGGATCGCGATAACTCGAAAGGCCTCGAATCAGGATGCCGATCGCGCCCTCGATCCCTGGCAGGATGGATTTTTCCTCGGCTCTCTCGGAACGTACCTCGAGGAGCAAAGTTTAAAAGGACTCCCCCGTGGAAGCGATACCTGGACCCAGAGGACGAGGGAGCTCCTTCCTCGAGTTCCTCCCGCCATTATCCTGGAAGGATAACCGCCCGAGCCGGAGGAATCCGAGAGGATAACGATGCCGAGGATATAAGGCAGTCTCTCGATAGCGGGATCGCAGGATTTTATAATTTTCCAGGAGCAAGGACCCCTCGTCGTCTCGAGGGAGTCCTTCCCTCTATCCTTCCCTGGGTAATTAAAAAGGCATTCTTTCGCCCTGCTTCCGGGTCCAGTTCGTTGCTCCCCAGGACCTCTTCCTCTCTTCGCGGTTCCTCCTTTTCGGGAAAGGAAAGCGATTTCCCTCGTCGCTCTTCCACGCGGTTTAGAAACCGAGAGTTTCCTCGGGTAGGGAAATTTACGGCGACTTTTACGAGCGCTCCTCCGATCCTCTCGCGAGAGATCGATGCTTCCTAGAGGCGAGTAAGGAGCGATCCTGCGGCGTGACGACGTCCGCTCGAAATAATACACATTTCAATTTCAGAGTCGTTACCAGCCAGGAGGGAAGCGCTAATAAGTGCGCCGATGCACGCCTCGGGGTAACGTGCTATCCCTTTTTACAGGGCAGCTGTAAAACGCGCTCTCCTCCAGGATGCCTCCTCCCCTGGAGGAAACTTCGTCTCGCAGCCACTGGGAATGTAATTTTTACATTTTTCGACATTTCTAGGCACGCCTGGGGTCGACGCCTCCGCTTTTTCCAACTCGACCATAAACCGCCTCCCGAGGGAGGAGATCCTTGCGATATCAAAAACGCGATTTTTCAGAAACTCGCCTTTTAACGACCCCGTTTTCCCCGGGGTTCTTGTCGCCCGGTGCTTACCCGAAATCCCGATCCCCCAGCCAAGGTGGGATCTCGAGTTTAACGATCGCTCTCCTCGATCCACCCGGGTGGATAACGATCGATTATCGATCGTAAGATCGCGACGCCGGTCGTAACGCCACCCAAGTGTTTCTCCCGGTTTCTCCCCGGTCGGCAATTTTTCCTCGATTCGTTCAAGCCGCCATTAGCGTAAATCTTAAGAGAGTCTCTCCTCCAGATCTGGAATTAAAAAAAAATCCAAAAATATCGAGGATAAATCCAATATGTCTATTTTTTTCTTTTTCCAGAAGGAGTGCAAGATTCGGGGCCGAGTGGGATCGTTCACTACACCAACGCTCAAAGGGTTACTACCGAGCTGGTAATTATAAAATCGTTAACTAGGACGATAAGCCGTTGAAGTTTTCCAGGACCAGGATTTCGGAGTCCCCTTGAATGTTCCTCTTATTAAAATTAATGAGTTCTCCATGGGCGCTCCTCGCGAGCGGGACTTAAGGTCGAAGAAGGCGAGTCCGGGCTTAAGGCTCGCACGCATCGAAACCGAGGCCAAAGGGAGTACATTGACCGATCCTAGGTAGCCGCCCGGAGCTCTTCGGGGAGTTCATCTTCCCCTGCGTTGTCGGAAACGGCGCCGCGTCCTCGTGAGCGAGATCGCCGCCATCTTGGAGAACGACCGGGCCGCCGGCGATTACGGGGACTCCGTGACTCCGAATTAACGGGAACAGGCTTTATCAGAGATCCATATATACATTTTTACCCGGTAACACATACCTAATTACGTACCAAGTACGTAATAAAAAACGGCCCTCGCTTCCCACGGGAGCGATCACCTCCGAATCTCGCCTAATCTAATCCAATCTAAGAATCGTCGCGTCTCCGAAATCGCTCTTCTCCCAATCGAGGCCTGCCGTTAATACATTCGCGACCGGCAAATATTTGCCCGTTTCATATACTAAGTACCGGCGAAAATAATTCAATTCTTAAACTAGTTGCCGCAAACTTGTGTCGTGTAGCGTCATGGACGTGATTCACGTCAGCGGTCGCGAATGTGTTAATAAATTATCTCCAGTTAGGATTAATCGCCGTTACCCCACATGTATCGCGATTCTTGGCGAGTTATTCCGCGACGTCGTCCTTATCAGAATGCGCGGCATGTTCTCTGATAGCTAGTCTCGCTGGATTTCGGCCGCGTTACGCTTTAAACTCGCGTCTCACCAGGGAACGGTAAACCGACACACCTGACCTTCTCCTGCGTCGCATTGTGCGGGGACTTAATAGCGACGTGTAGCGGCAATGAGGCCCAGGGGCCCGTAAGGTGGATTTGCATGTAAGCCCGAGTGAGACGGAGACATGCGACGGAAAAAGGAGGGGAAAAAAGAAAAAAAAGAAAATAACTGGAAAGATGTGACGGGACGGAAACGCGAGGACGCCTGCCACGGAAGTGGAACGGTGTCGATTTCTTTTTCCCCCCCTTTTTTATTTTCGCCTTGGTATTTTTTCCTCTAAGTCGGGACTTTTTATCTACAGCGGGAGGGAGAGCATGTCGGAGTAGTTTGGAGAACGAGGGAATTTAAATGGAGTTAGACCGATTTAAGGGGATTTAAACGAATTTCTACGGACTCGAAGGACCGATCAGCTGATCGCGACGCAACCTCGCCGATTCTCGGGCCTGAGGGGATAACGATGAAACCGCGACTTTACGAAGTCGGCCGACTAAAGTGGGATTGCGACTGGCGTAAATCGAGGCTATGACTTGCGCTCGGGAATCGTTATGCAGCGAGAGGGAATCCGAGGGCTTGCCCGCGGGAAAGCGAATCGCAGGATCGCTCGGTCGTTTTTCATCCCCCGGAGGAGTCGCTCCCCTCGAGGCGGAATTCTCGAGGAAGAGGACGTACATTAAGTGCATCGCATTAGGATATGCGTAAGCGCAGAATATGGAATAGAGTGAACGGTGGTATTCATTTTTCTTTCTTCGCTTCCAGTACGTGGACTCGGAGCTTTTGGACGTGGACGCCTTGAACAACACGAAGAGGGCCGGCAGAGACGTGCTCTTCTTCAATCGGGTGCCGAAGGTGGGCTCTCAGACCTTCATGGAGTTGCTGAGGAGACTCTCCATGCGCAACGGGTTCTCCTTCAACAGGGACCGGGTGCAGAGAGTCGAGACGATCCGATTGGCGCCGATCGAGCAGGTAAGGATTGGACCTAGAGGAAGAAAATCCAAATAAATATGGGAGGTCCACACTTTCAGCTGCAGCTAGCCACGATGGTCAGCTCTTACGCCGAGCCCTCCGTCTACGTGAAGCACGTGTGCTTCACCAACTTCACCGAGTAAGTTGGAGAAAACCGGGTCCGAGGATCTCGCTTCCTATCCCCCCGGTGCGCCTCTTAACAGGTAAACTACATCAGGTGCGATTTCACGGCTCGTCGTTTCCAGGTTCCACTTGCCGGAGCCGATTTACGTGAACCTCGTCCGCGACCCCATCGAGCGCGTCATTTCCTGGTATTACTACGTAAGGGCGCCCTGGTATTACGTCGAGAGGAAGCAGATTTTCCCAGACCTGCCTCTGCCCGATCCCAGCTGGCTGAAGAAGGACTTCGAGACCTGCGTCCTGAGCGGCGACAGGGAGTGCAGGTACCTGGAGGGAGAGATCCACGAGGGCATCGGCGACCACCGTCGGCAGACCCTCTTCTTCTGCGGTCACGGCGAGAAGTGCACGTGAGCCTCCCCAGGGATCATCTACGAGAATTAAGGATTGTCAAGGTATACGACTAATATTTATCATTTACTCCCAGGCCCTTCAACACCCTCGGCGCCCTGGAAAGGGCGAAGCTCGCGGTGGAGAAGCATTACGCCGTGGTGGGAGTCCTGGAGGACGTGAACAGCACCCTCACGGTCTTGGAGAACTACGTTCCCCGATTTTTCGAGGGCGCCACGGAGGTTTATTACGGTGAGAATTCTTCCCCGATGAGAACCTCGTACATTGAGTAAGGTCAATGCCGCACAGTGTTAACGGGTACCTTCGAATGCTTTAGACCAGGAGAACTCGTTCACGAAGATCAACAGGAACTTCTTCAAGCCCCCTGTGAGCGAGGAGGTGAAGGACCTGGTTCGCCGGAACTTCACTCGTGAAGTGGAGTTCTACCAGTTCTGCAAGCAGCGACTTCACAAGCAGCTCAGAGCCCTGAAGCTGGCCAATCCGCCGTTCACGGGGAATTCTCTCTAAGAAGGTCCCGAAGAGCTTCCAAGGATGCTTTCAGAGGACGATCTTCAGGTCGCAGAGGCCTCCACGAGGTCCTCGATAGGTCGCGGACCTCGGGAAACAGGGATCAGGATCGAAGCTAGGGATATCATCTCGTTCGTTAATTTCCTCCCCGGATTCGACGAGAGCTCTCGAAGGGCGGCTCGAATTTTCCTGAAATGAAAAAATCAAAAGCTTAGAGTTGGGGGTTCTAGGAACGCACTCGTTAAACGAAAAATAAGAAAGAAAAAAAAGAAAGAGGGGGAAAAATCAAAACTAGGTCTTGGTGGCTGGGAAAAGGCGGTACATTTTCGAGGAAATATTCGGGAAGGAAGTTTCAAGGGAAAACCGAGGTCGAGTATTTACGGGGAGAGTGGATAGTTAAAAAGAAAAAGAAACCCGATAAGCTGCGATCGGCGGGAAACTAGACTATCTCTCAATTTCCCATGTCTTGGGTTTACCGAGATCCATTATTTTTGCATTAAATGCATCTGAGGGAAAGGATTAAGGAGTCGAGCCTCGTAATCAAGGAACACCGAGTGATCAATTTAGTGCCAAAATTCTCGCGAGTCAACGAAATTATCGGTGTTTCGAGGGGACCAACGATAAGACGGAAACATCTCGCGAGTCGAGTGCATCTCCTTTTCCTTCTGGGGTGATATCGCTACACTTGCGGATGGTATCGTAGTTCTTCATAAGTAGAATCGTATTCAGGTGTTCACCGTATTTCCAAGAGGGCTGTAAAGAATAAGAATGACATTTCGTACCTGTAACAACGAGAGAGGAAAGCCGTGTATACTTGCAATGTAATGGCGCCATTAAAAGTCATTCGACGTTTCTTTAACCGTCGATTATTTCTCTCTCCGACATGACCGTTTAAATACGCCGATTATATTTAATTAGTAAATTTTTGCTAATAGAGGTGCCTTTTAAATTTTCTTCTGGAAATTCATTCCATGCACCGGAGTGCAGTGGGTTGCATACCCTCCAGGCGCATAATATGCCGACAAGACTCGGTAGGTAAATCGACTCTGAACTTTTGATCCTCTCTCGAAAATACCTTCCTTACCGACCCCAGAGATAACTGTGCCTTATCCCCATGAGGGTAACCTCGCGGTACCTACTTCCTCCCACAATCGGTAATTATCCACAACCGGTGCAATCGAAGCCCCAGGTCCTCCAGAGACCATTTCACAACGTCGAGCCGGATAAAAAAGAAAAATAAAGGAAAATAAGTGAACGGGTTCTCGGGTGGATTAAAAAGCCGAAAAAAAATCTGAACAGCCCAGAATACGATAGAAAGCGCAGGTGTCCCGTATAAAAGTGATCCGCAAATCGTTTCTCGGTACACCGGGTTCCTTGATATGCATAAAACCGGAGCAAGCGGCATTCCGCGGTAAAAGGGCATTGGCACAAGCTTTCCAAGCTTCGGAGCGATTCGAAAGAGGCGGCGATCTTGGTTCGGTATACTAAAACTAGAGAGAGTAGAAGCGGCTCGGATCTCGAGATCCCAGGAAGAGGTCCTGCGGGAAGAGGGACTAAAAATCAATGAGCCCCTCCAGGGAAGTCCTACGAAAAGCTAAAAATAAAATCTCCCCCGGAAAGGTCGCACTCCCGGGGAGTCTTCTTTCTTTCTTTGGAGGCCGATTACCCGGCTTAAACACCTGAAAATAGAGTGGTATCCGAAATGTGGGATACGCATGCCGGCTTAGCATGTACTCATCGTCATGTCGAATCTGCATCCGTGTCGTAGGGGGTGGCGGGTGGTGGGTGGTGGGTGGTGGGGCGCCAACATACAAACGCGCCGCGTGGGCGGATGACGTAATCCGCCCACCTGTAGCCGTGGCGGGCGCATCGAGTCGCCTCGACCGTTCTACCGGGTGTCCGTAAACCAGCTGTACCGATAAACCATCAAACCTGCGAAAAAATAAATCGCCGTCGAAAATAAACGGCCCCTTCCCTAATCGCGACCTCTGGGCCAGATAAGGGGCCTCGATAACGGCGATGCAGCGGCTATCGGTCTTTATCGGATAAAAAACAACGTTATTATGTCGAATCCAGCGGGATCGACGTGGCAGGGGCCCAAACGCCGACGTCACGTCTCGGCGGCCATGTTGGCGGCAATTAGCCGTCACTTCCGGGTGCCCCCCCGAGTCTCGAACCTTGGCGCCTCTCCAGGTAGAGTCTCATGGTCGCACGGAGCGCGTAGGACGAGAGACCCTAAATTCCCCAAAAGCGATGCCTGGGGTTACGAGAAATTCCGATCCGGTCCTCGACGCGCCGCGCTCGGTGAGACGGGCTTCCACGTGTTGCTTTGACGTTTTCGACGTCGCTTTGACGTTTCGCGAGCGCCCTCCCACGGTTCCGATGCGTTCCTCGTTAATGTCCTGAAATTATTTCGACTCGACTCGAGGCGCCCTCGGCCAAGAAACCGCGGAAAGCGGGATACATCGCTCGTCTCTTTCTCCCGAACCCTAACCTACAAAATCCGCGCCCTTCCCCGGCGGGGCCGAGGCCACGTGGGCATTTCGGTCCGCGCCCAGAGGCCCCCACCGGGTTCCCCTGCATACCTTCGCCGGCCTCTCCCTCTCTAGTCAATGCCCTCTCGGCGGACGTGTCGGTCGGAAGCCTCTCGCGCCCTCCCGCGGCGGAGCCGAGCCGGCCCGAGCGTCCACGTGGCGCGGGAGCCGAGCAGCGACTCGCACGCGAGGCCCGGTCACGTGGGTCCGCCCCCCACTCCGCGGCCCGCCGGCATTTAAACTCCGGTTTGACGTTCGAGACGTCACTCGGACGCGTGGCCAGGGCCCGCTCGGACCCGATGCCAGGACGGAGGAGGAATGCGACGAGGGTGTGGGGCAATCGACGTCTAGGTGGAGGGGCGCATACGGGCCGGTCCACCTGTGCCGTGCTCGCGGGCATCGTGTCCGAGCCGAGAGAGGGGGAATAATACCAAAGAGAGAGCTCGAATTTCCTCCTGGTCTCGTTTCCCTCTCGAGCTCTCGGGTGGGTGCGCCCGGGTGCGCGAGCACGTCCACGAGTCTCCTGGCAGGTGTGCGAGTACCCTCACGGATGCACCGTCACGTGTACGAGTACACCCACGAGGGCCTTCCCACGTGTGCGAGTACGCGCACGAGTGCCTCTCCAGGTGTGCGAGTACCCTCACAGGTACTCTGCCACGTGTACGAGTACACCCACGAGGGCAGGGGCGTCGACGCCCGTCCGGGTCTAGTCCTAAAAGCGACCTTACTGGAAAGTACCGTTACCGGCGGCCGTCCAGCCTCGCGGAGAAAACGGGACACTATGTAGGTTGCCGATTACGGGGGGGTGAAAGGCGGCGCCGACCGCACCCCGGCGTCTCGACGTCAGTCGGCGCCCCAACGTGGCCGGGAACGTGGCCGAACGTGGCTCGACGAGTCTCGGGGCGAGCTTCCGCCCGCCGCTCGCTCGCTCGCTCGCTCGACTCCGCTCGGCCGCTCGCTTCTGCTCGCCTCGACTCCGCTCGGCCGACTGCCGGGCCGCTGACTTACTGACTGACTGACGCCAGGCGACGCGGCCGACGCGGCCGACACAGTAGACACAGTCGACACAGTCGGCCCGGAGCCTGCGGCAGCGACGCCTGTTCCGCGGGACCTCTCGCCGGGACGAGCCGCTGACGTGGACCCTACCGAGACCGCGACCGACGACGCGGACGAGCATTGCCCGACCCAGGAGCCGAGCATCGATCGCGCCCCCGAGTCGCTGGTGAATTCTCGATCACCCCTCTACAACAACCCGAGAAGAGGAGAAATCTCGACACCTCGAAAAAAGGTAAGAAAATCATGAATATTTTTCCCATAGTTCTAGAATTTTCATTATTTAAACAGTTTAAACAGTGCGAAGCGTTTAAAGGCCTCGTGGAATTTAAAACGAGGACCTTTCTCGCCCATCAACAGGGGGGAGATAGAGATCCTGGTTTCTTGCCAATTTCTTTTCCCTCGAGTTTCAGGATCTACGTATCCGGTAGTTCTCAGGTTCCTGGTGCATTCTTTACCCTGGGACAGAGAGGGGGGGACTATAAAGCGCCTCGATCCTACGTTTTCTTCGCGTTTTGAGCGGTAGGAGATTCTCTCATTTTTCTTCTTTTTTTTTTTCTTCACTCTTCTTGCCCCCAGGAGGCTCTCTGTTTTCTTTTTTCTCCTCTCCTCCCTCCCGGGTTTCGCGTTCTGGATTTAATCGAGCCGCGAGGGGAGACAGGAGTCCCGGGGAAAATCCTCGTTTCGAGGATATTCCCCCGAAGGTTATTTCCTCGTTTAATAAGAGAGGCACTCGGCGAAGGCTGCCGCCGAAGAGGGATACCCGGTGAAAGGGAAATGATCCGCAGGGTTTGGGGGAGATGTCGGGTCTCGATATTTTCTTTTTCTCCCGAACGGGTTACACGTGGAGGAATTTAAGTGGAGCGCAGCCAGGTGAGGGGGAGGAAGGAGGTCGGGGAGGGGACCAGGGGGGTAAAGAATGCACAGATGTATTTAACCGGCATATACGCAAGGAGGCGCGATGATTATTGTTGCCGTTCGATATTTGGCCTCGGTATTAATAATCACGGTTAAATAAAAGCCTCGCCGAGAGAAATTAGGAATTGGTTGCCGCGGAATGAATACTCGCGTATTGCGATATATCGATCGATCGGTCCGATCGAATCGGAGCGCGGGCCTCGCCGAGAGATGCGGTGAAAGTGAAATTATCCCGAGGGCTCTAGGGGAGCCGTGTCTTTTTTTTTTTATTTATTAATTTCTTACCGTCCGCGAGAGCGACTTACACGTGGCGAAGTGGAGCAAACCATTCGAGAGAGGTTTTCCTTTTTCTTCCTTTTTATTTTTCTCTTCCCGCGGGGCGGAATACCTCGGCGCGCCAGAATCCGGATAGAAGATATTCTTCTCCCCTAGGATCTCGAACACCACCTATGGGAAGGAATTAAAACGCATTAACGGCGGGAGGCAAATCCAGGAGACTCGGATCGCCGAGCGGGTTTAACATAGGAATGGCTAAAGTTGAACGCGATACGGCCGAGGGAAAGTCCCCAGTGATTTATAGAGAGAGTTTTAGTGAAATCAATAGGTTCAATTACTTCACCGAGGCGAACGTATTCCCGCGGTTTTCCGTTCCTCCCTTCCTCGGGGTATCGGGTACCCTCGTCCTGGGAGAGATTCGTCCGTCGGAGTGGAGCCCCTAGGGGTGGAGGACGATCTCGGATTCCCGGTCGCCGTGGGTACCTGAAAGGAAATCGGACGATCTGTAGGAATAATGAAGAAACCGCGGAGGACGTTTAGAGTTCTCCTCGGGGAAGAGGTTGTTGCGCGGAGAGAGTCCAGCGGAGCGAGGGAGACATCGTCGGGCTCGGCGCCTTTCGACTCCTCTTGGCTCCCTACGTGGACAAGAGTCGGGGTTAAATTATCTATGAATATGAATGTATGTTAAAACGACGTGTAACTATGATTTCCCTTCTACCCAGAGACGCAGAATGAGATCGGAGGTGACGAGCGAGGAGGGCTACGTGGAGGCGTGGGGTGCGAAGAGTTCCCAGGGTGGCCGAGCGGCGCGGCGGACGTCGAGGCGCGGCGACCGGCAGAGCTCGAGGTCGAAGGTCTCCAGGACGGCCACCCCGCGGGAGAGGACCCTCAGGAGGCTGGAGAGCAACGAGCGGGAGCGGATGAGGATGCACAGCCTGAACGACGCCTTCCAGGTGAGATAGCACTGGAAAAAAAAAAAGGATATAAATATATATATATATAAATTGATAAGAAAAAATGATTAAAATCTAATCTCGACCCTCGTCGCAGTCCCTGCGAGAGGTGATCCCCCACGTGAGCAAGGAGAGGCGGCTCTCGAAGATCGAGACCCTGACGCTGGCCAAGAACTACATCGTGGCCCTGACGGACGTGATCTGCGCGATGAGGGGCGAGGAGCAGAGCACCGAGCAGAAGATGCAGCAGATGCAGCAGGCGGACCACGGGGGCCCGTCCGAGGGCTCGGAGGCCTCCGAGGCCTGCCTCGACATCAACACCCCGAGCTCCTCCAGGTCCTCCAGCCCGGAGAGCCAGAGCTTCTACGAGGACAACCAGGTGGACGCGATCTGGGACCAGAAGTCGAGCCGCTGTGCGGCGCACTGAGGCCTACCCCGAGACTCGTCGGTGCGAATTCGAGTCGGTCTTCCGGACAGCGAGTATCCGATCATCCTGAGGCGACTCCTCGCGCTGGAGTCGCCCCGACCTCTAGGTTTAAGGTATAGGCGGATAAGTCGGGCGGCACGTCCTGGGAGCGGCCGGGAACGCGGATTTCTGATACGTTTACGTATGCCGAGGACCATCGGGGGGCACGGGCACGAGCAGCACCCAAGAAAAAGGAAGAGGGACGATCTCGCGTCGTCCCCTGGGGAGTAGGATTCGCAGCGTAGGGTGCCAAAAATCGAAGTATCAGTATTAAGCCGTGGAACACCTGCTGCATATCAGTCCCCTGTATCTTCCTCGGCGGGGGAGATCATTATTTCGGCGAGGGGACGCGTCGCGTCAACGATGGGAATCCGTCGTGCGAAAGTGATATCCGGGTCAGGGCAATTATTCGAGACATCTCGGCGACGAGGTTCCCCTTGAATTAAGGGGGCCTCGGTAATCTCGCCCGAGCTAAAGAACTCGGCCGATAACGTCGAATTGTAATTCGACATATATTCTAAATATAAGGACGCGCTAATCTTAAACCGGTCAGGCCCATCGGAGCACGCGGGGCGACATGCTCGTGCATTAATCCTGGCCGATGGCCGCGAGATGGACGTGCACCGCGCAAAAAGTATGTGATAAAGACGCGACGGGGAATGCGGATCGTAAACGCGATAGAAACTTCCGTCCGGATTCTGGCAGGTTTCTGGTTCTTGCTTAACTCGGTGTTTTTCTTTTTCCTTTCTTCTGTTTCTCTCTTTCCTTTTCTTCCCTCGGTTTTTACTGGGCACTCCAGGCGGAGCGTTTATCATTTCTTGCGACGCGAACGAACGCTCGGCTCTCGTGGAAATCGACCTAATTCCTTTTCTCTTTCTCTCCTAGAATCGGCGGAGAAGCGAAGCTCCGTGCGAAAGGTTTCCCGTTGATTTCTGAAAGTCATTCGCGAAGGAAGCTTATATATACGCATATATAAATATACATATACATACATACACAAATACACGAACACGCGCTATCGAATCAGCGAAGGAAACTACATGTCTAAATATAACAAATAATATATTTAAATATATAGAAATCTATATATATATATATATTTAAGAGGAAGAATATATTATGTATATTTGAACTGCAAACCGTGCGAGCTAATTGATCGATTCTTATCATCCCCCTCCTCGCACTACCTAATCGGCTCGATAAGACAAGTCGATGACTCTCCGTCCTTTGGATAAAGAATAATTGGGAAGATGATAATTTAAATAAATATCACGCGGTAACAACGATAACGTATGAGCAAACGCGACTGCGATCTCGTTAGCTCGTCCCGAAGGAAATAGGCCGAGCTTCCAACGACTCCAAGTCGACTATTACTGCTGTTTGAGTCGTGGAGAACTTTGGGATACATATCGATCTCACTGACTGACCTTCGTCCCCTGAGGATAAGGTTTACGATGTTTAATCGTATCTTTTGGATGCGATATTACCGTAGTTCCTCTATAAATAACACTCGTACCTGTATACATCCTTGTTTCGTACTTGTCCATGTTGCCGGTGAAGTATATGTCAGGACATTCCTGGATGACGAGGGGATCCTCCCCGGAGTATGGATATTCTGACAGCGTGTCTGGTGATGTCGGCGAGAAATGACGACAGGTCAAAGTTCTTTCCAACCAGAATAGAGGTGAGGACTCTGTTACATTAGCCACTTTCATGATATCGTTTATCGGCTGACCACTTGACCCAGCCACAATCCGTGAACCGATGCGGCCTATCCAAGGATTCGTCGCTCCGTGCAGGCTTTTAAATCTAAAGAAGAAATTGATAATGCACTTCGCAGCAATATTTAGCTGATATCGAAAGAAAAAGAATGGCTCGTTTACCTGGACGACTTTGGTAGTATACAGGGATGCAAGGGCTGCTGCGGTATCATGTGGTTGGTTGGATCGAACTCTCCAGGCATTAGAGTAACCGGACAACAATTTAATAGGTGACTGAGAAATGAATCGAATCGATTTGATGCAAGTGCACTTTCCGCATGAGCTACCGATTCTTGGGATTTCCTTGCGTCGTGACCTCTGCTGAAACGAGGTGCTGCTGAGCCTTGCACACTATTTCCTAGTCAATATTTCAGATTACACTCCAACTCATTGACTAGGAAATATTATTTCTCAGGGAATTATATTGGAAAAATTACCAGCAATGATTACTCTGACGATGGAAGCCTGGTATGCTTGTGTTCTTGAATTGCCGCACATTCCACTGGTCCACTCTATAAGAAGATTTTTGGCCAGACAGGCTGCGGAGCTGTTTAAATCTAATCCTGAAAGGAATAGTATTTTTCCTTTGCATTTTGGTGCAGCACTTAAAGGCGATGCTTGCGCAGGACATCCTGGAAGGCACCAATCTTCTACCTGCCACACAACATAGATTTCTTTGACAAGGAAAATTGATTTTAAACATCAGGGATTTTAGAGGTCATGTACAAAATTGGGATTAGTAATCAGACTGTACCCAAAATGAGCCCTCGTCTGTTTCATGTCCAAGAATGGCGCAAATGGTTCCAGTAATTGTTTCTTCTACGTTTATATGATTTCCTACTAATTTCATTCGTATAGTTTCATCTTCAATAAATAATTGGTCCTTGCTTGAATAATAACTGCTTCTTACAGGTTGAGGATATAATTGTAGTTCTTCGCTCAGCTCCTTTAGGATCGAAGGCTTCATTTCTTGATGTTTATACAGTGATCCTATGACTATACTCTGTTTGCCCAATCCATCTTTTAACAGATGACCTAACCAATGTAGGCATTATTCCAAATTCATGAGTTGATCAATTTTATTTAATCATAAAGAACCTAACGAAGGAATGAAAGTTAATTTTCAAATACTATACCCCATTTCGATTTCGCTTTCTCTAAGAGAATGCCTTTCAATATCAATAGTCTTGCTGTATAAGTACTACAGAACTGTCCATCAAAGCACCTTGTCTTGAAAGTAAATCTTCTGAAGTCTTCAAATTCAATTGATTCCCTTTGGAATATTTTGGAGGCTTCCGCCTCAAGTTCGGGAGATGTCATCTCTTTTTAAACTCCATCCGTTCTTTAAAAAAAACAACCAATTCTTATGTCTTTTAATTAACTAGCTTTCTTGGCGGTTTATTTACCTTTAATATGCAACTCGCAAACAAACTAAGGCTACAATACTATTTTAATAACATGAAAAAACAACTCCATTAAAACAGTCCAAAGAGACTGAAAACAAATGCCGACATAGAAAAAAGAGCTCGTCCTCATTCCGTAAATCATTTAAATGATTGTTTGACGAAAAAACGCTCAACTGGGTGAAGAGTTAGTAATCATTGAGATTAAAATAAAGAAGAAAGAACTTTCTTAAAGATATTTGTCTTTCGGATAACCTCAAAACTGAGACGTAAACAGTTTTTTCACTGACGCGAGTAATGCCATGCAAATTTTTCCCCCAATCTTTACTTACTGGCGTTTATTTAAAGGAGGAAATTACTTAAAATCATTATCACTACATTTCAATAATCCGGAAATATGATAAATCTATACTCAACGGAAAACATCTACGACTGACTAGCAACGTCTGACAAATGGCTCTTGGGCGCCCTAACCTCGAAACTTGAACGTCGCCGCCGGCACGTATGATGCAGTTTATAGTCTTTCCTGGTTAATTTAACGAAGAAAAATGGTTAAAGTCATGATTACGAGGCTCCATGAGTGATGATAAAACTTCGTTAAATATATCCTTTAATTCGAAGAATTATTGTCATTAAGAGTATATAAGTAAACTGCAATAATGCAAGAGAAAGAGAAGAAGCCCCCTGGAAACCACTTAAGGTAATTTTTTCAAAGATTAATTACAAGAGGTGTTAATGCCATATTGATCTATTATTCACAATTATCAACCAGAGCTGAAGAGTTGCTGAAGAACCGAGGGATTCGCACCGATGCCTGGGAAGAATGGGAGAAATCCATTCAAACCCTGCCTAAGACTGGATGTAAGCAATACGAATCTAATGGATCATGGCTACAAAATAGACAAATCGATGCAAGTATTAAGAATCGGAAAGAATTACTGGGAATCGAAAGAGTCGAGAGAAGTTCTCAGCTAGCAGCTGCCGAGTGGTTGTCCGATCAGTCAAAGGCTCTAGTTACAAAAAGATCAGGTCAAGACTGGTCAGCTTATGGTTTAGAAGAAGGCTCCAATCTTTACCTGATTCCGGAAGAAGCTTTACTACTTCTCGAATTGGTATGGTATAAAAATACCTTGAGAATAATTTAATTTTAAACGTAACTATTTAATATTTTTATTTATTTCTAGAATTGCCTAGAGCTCACTTGGAATGGATTGGCTCTGTCGGTGCAACAAGCTTATGAAGTATTGATCGGATCTGAAAATTCAACATGTAGTTTAAACGAGTATAGAGTTTACAGTCAGCTTGCAAAACAAGGGTATCGACTTCAGAGATTTAATTATGAGCAACCAAATTATGAGAAGAAGACTGTACGATTTGAGGAGCCCGTAAAGAGGAAGGTCATTGGTATCCCAGAGACAGGCCTTAGAGTGCTCGACAGCCTCTGCGGGGCTCGCCAAAGTAACGATAAAACAGTAATTGATGAATCTCAGAATTCTAAAGACCAATCTAACGGTCAGGTCAAAAATTCAGGTAGTACAGATGAGACAAAAATAAGTAATGAAACGCCTGCAAGTATTACCGAAGATATTACCCGTGACATTATGGACTCTATTATTTGCCAAATAGAAAACAAGGTAGGATCATTTGGAAATACTGTACCCTGATAACATGTTACAGAATTTTATATTTATTCAGTGTGATTTTATCTTTCATCCGTATAGGACAAGGATGGTGAATCCAGTTCAGCAAATGTTACCCACACTCCTGCGACATCCAAAAACAGCGATACAATAATGAAAGTTGTTGCTCAAGACAGCTGCACCGACGATAACTCTGAGAATTCTGAGAGCAAACGAAAAAACAGCAAAATTGAAATCATCTCGGATGAGATACTTGTGGATAATATGAAAATACGGAAAAACGTTCCAACTGATTCAACTACGGTTGGGAATCCAAGTCAAAAGTGGATAAGTTCTAGAATACAAAGAAACGTTAAGTTACTTCCTAAAAGAAATCATAAGGTCCCAGTCCCTCAGAATGTGTCAGAATTGCCAGACAGTTCTCATTTAGAAGCAAGCTCAAAGAAATCAGGACCGGTGGGTAATAATGCAGATAAGCGTAAGCTTCAGGAACCATCTACGATATCTTCCGAGGCGAAGAGATCTCGTCACGAGGTGTGTACTTGTTTTCGCATTTATTTAAACCGAGCTTAAAAGTTACAATTTTACATTAACAAAATTTGTATCCTCTTAGGTAATAGAGTTGTCCGATGATGAGATCGAAGAGATACCACATCGGATGACTAGAATGGAGATGCTCAACATGTTTCCAAACATTGCCATTCGTCCAGCTCGAATGCGAAAAATATCTACGCGATATTTACCCTTGAATGTAAAACCCAAGAAAACTTCTTACGAGTATGTTCCATGGGCGGTGCACAGGGCAGAGCAAATTGATATGAAGGCTCGGGAGAGTTCAAGATCAAAAAGCAATACTGAATTAAACAACAGAAAACGTAATCAAACCTCGAGTTCTGCCTCCACTAGATTCAGAACAGACAACTTGGAATCGGCTTACTACAACCGTAGACAGAATTTCCAAAATTTTTCATCGAACAGGCCTCCTTCGTCAAGACATTCACAGTTTTCAAGGCCAAGGGCGCCTTTTCTATTCGTCGATTCCGAGCAGAGTACCTCAGACTTTTTTGGGAGGTCCACGTGTATTCAGAGGAATGTAATGCACAACACTAACATTGTCTCTCGGGGCTACGGTCAGTATTACAGCAGATCGAATACTGTATCGAGGAATGGAAATTTTTCCATGCAAGTGGACAATTATACAAATATCGCCATAACTGAGAATCCCATGCGAATGCCATTTATGGCAGCACATTTTCAGCAGAATCCTTGGCAGATATTTGCCATGCAACAGAACTTTTGGGCCCAGCGAATGTTGGCTTGTTTGACAACGTTAGGGATGCAAAACTGTTTCGATGTCCAAAGAAATCAACAACAGACTATGAGTCCGAGAAGATTACGAATTGAACCTCCCACGAGGGTGGTCTCCATTGAAGATGATGAAAAAGAAGTTAATAAACCTTCCTTTGTGAAGGATCCCGATACCTCTTCATGGTTTGAACTGAAGAAAAAGTGGATCGATGAGAAAACCATCACTATAGATGACGAGGATCGCAACGACTTGAATGAGTCTGCAGATTGCAACGATGTCGAAGTAGTGAATCAGCCCATCAAGCCTTTAGTCGATTCGAGAAATTCCAGAAACTTTGTTGAAGTTTTTGAAAGACTTCGTATAATAAAACCTGCTGCGGAGAAGACTGTCAGGAGACGAAGAGGACAATACAAAATATCGTATAACGTGTACTCCAGTATGCAACACTTCAGGAAAAGTCAACCAGGAGTTCCTATCTGTCGACTGGTAGTTTTAAGGTATTTCAATTTTTAATTAGTTCCGTTAATAAATTCCTATCTTTTTTCTTGGTGATATTACATCTACCTTTACAGGCAAAAGGATCCCTTTGTACAACCAGTTGAACTGGCTCGTCTGCAACAGGACAGTAAAGGTGCTCCCATCGTCCTGGCTTGTGTATCGAACACTTCCGTTGCATTTCTTCAGCCTGGAGTTGTCTCGCTGCCTAATTTAAATTAAATTTCTGTTTCTTCTAATAAATGTACAGTTTCTAAAGAAATCACGCGCACGAAACAGATATACATTGTGCTCCCAGATGTCAGTCATCGAGCACATGCTCCGACTCTTTCTTATTTATTAACAATATAAGTCCTTGTACGAGTATGCATATATACAATCGTAAAAAGTTTATACATAGGACCCGAGTCCGTGTCGTGCCTTGAATAATATATACTACTGTACAGCACAAGAAGTTTCGGATATGTTTGGGATTGCTTCGATCCCATTTCAACACCGGTTCTAATAACAAAATGGTAGAGCATCGAGGAGCAACAATATTGTTCCCCTAAAATACCAACATAAGAAATGCATAACTGCTAAACTATAAATGTTACAAATATTTGCTGGGATCTCTGACATTAAGTTTCAAAATTCCTCAAAACTTAACAAATACCCCCATACGAGTTAAATAACATCAGCCTTAACGGGATACCTCGAGGTTGCCCTTCGGCAACGCCAACGGGTCCACTTTGGAGCGTTCCTGCAAACGACTTAAACTTTAAAAGATTCGGAGAAGGCACAGGAAGGGTTATTTCGAGCGGGGTTATCCACCCTTGACGTGGAGAACGACGAAAAATGACTTCAAGGAGACTTCCCGCCCACAGCGGAGCCGACCTCGCTGCCGTGGTGGCTAGAGGCTTTGGACTTCCTCTCGGGGTCCATCGCGATGGAGATGAACTCCTCGGAGATCTTCTTATCCAAGCCGGTATACGTCTGCGCCAGGTCGACCTGGTCCTCGCCAATGGACGACATCCTTTTAGGAGATTCCTGCTTGCCTTCGTGGTGACGTCTTCTCTCCGCCGAGTCCACGAGGTCCTCGGAAGAGTGGCGCCTGTGCTTGGGCCTCACCTGAAAGGTCCGTATATCCGGTTAATCTTGCATCCCACGCTCCTCCGTGACATTACAAGGTAGGGTAAAAAGATCTCGATAAAGGCCCTGCCGGGTCTAATTTGAATATCACTCCTAGGGAATGCCCAGGCATGGCCACACCGGAGACACCGTTCTCACGCGAGTGGTCTTTCTCCTATTTAATCCACGTAAGGTGATTACCATCTGCGACGGTGGTCGAGTTCCATACTGAGGATGGGCCACCATGGGTACTTTGAAGCCAGCCCCGGGTAGTGGAAGGGTTCCAGCAGGCAAGAATCCAGGTGGATACTTCCCAGGCGGTGGCGGCATTCCATAGGGTCCCTGCACATACATCGCATCTAAATGTAATCCTGACGTTACAAGACCTCGTATACGCGACATTGGAAAAGTCCCTTTCCCGGATTAAACCTCTAGATGCGGCTTTGGCCTTTCTACGCAGCATTGTCTCCCGATGTGGGGCACTTATGTCCACGTGGGAATGACGCGGACTCGTCGGATAGTCCGAGAGATTTCTAATTCGCAGACGGCGAATGGCTCCAGGCGAGTTTCGGAGGAATCTCGAGAGCTGACGAGAGTTTCTCCCGAGTCATCGGGAGATTGAGGCCCTGGTGAACTTTCTAGCACACCGTTGACCTTACCCCTCCCACTCGCGGTAAGGGAACGCGATTCTCCGAGGAGGACACCTACAATCCACCGTCACCCATCGGTTGATAGATTCACCTGCATGATCGGATGCACAGGTACCACGGGCTGGACCACGTAAATGGGCTGGTTCTTCGGCACGTGGCTCTGGGCGATGACCCACTGGTGGACCATGTTGTGAGTCTTCAGGCCGGTCTCTTCCGGGGCGCCCTCCTCGCCGGATCTGAGACACCTGCAGAGCTTGGGTGTCAGGGTGACGCAGGTGTAAGCCGACACCAGGAGTTCCGCGACGCTGGCGACGAGGAGACCAACGCTGGCCAACAAACCCGCCCATCCTCCCTCGACCTCGATGACTCTTCCATCGTCCTCCTGAAACGTTGCAAAGAAAAAAAAAAAAAAAAAAAAAAAACTATTTAATATTGATCAAACAAACCAGGACAGAAATGCTCGATTTCCCCAGCTACGATTCCGCATATCGTGACGATGCGCGATTTCCATTTTCACATGCACGACTTCGACTGGACTTTTTCCAGTTATCGCGGCATTTAAGGAGTGCCCGCCATGCATGAATTCGGTCTTACTCGTGACCGCCCGATTCCAGAAAATCCTCTGACCGCCTTTAAAGTCCTTGGCAATGAACTTTCTCCGAGAGCGGAGAGGAGTCCCTGCCCCGGAGCGCATGCGCGAAGTCGAAACGGATCGACGAGAGGCCCACGGGCCTGGAACGCTCGGTTTTACTCCAATTAACGTGGCCAACAGCGATCCGTTAATTAATTCGAGATCGTTAATTGCCAGGCTCTCGATAGGACTCTCGATCTTGGGCTTACGTCGCGTCGAGATACTCGCCGGCTCTCGTGCAAGAACATCCTCCATGCGGACGTTGCGGTATTAAGTTTAGCCGCTACGATGGATTATAATCGATTAACGATTAAGGGAGGGATTAATAATTCAAGATGTTCCAGGAGAACGTACCGGGACGGCGAGGAGAGTCAATTCGGGATTCCTCTGGGAGTCCCTGACGACGGCCGTAAGGGCTGTAATGGCGGCCATGTTGGACAGGGCCAAGGCCACCAAAGAGGAGGCCAAATGAGCCGTGGAGAAACCGGAAGTGCGCTGATTCTGGCCCATTTCCGGCTTATCGGAGGACGTGGCAAGTGCGGCCACAACCCCTAGTGCTCCTGCGACCAGCGCCCCTGCCCCTGCCCAGAGTCCAGCTCCGGATCCTCCCAAGGAGGCGCCATGGACCAGCACGAGGACCCCAAAGACGACCAGGACGACTCCTGAAAAACCCGAAAAAAAAAAGTACTTAGCATCCCTCACCGATAACATTTCAAAGGAAGGACTCGCCCGCACCCAGAATCTGCTGAAAGGTCCTGCAACCCGATTTTGAAATTAATTCTTACCGAATTAATTTCATGAAACTTATGCACTGATGCGAAATTTTTTATGCGCAAAATGTCAAGCCTCGCGGAACCTTTCAATTGATTCCAGGGTAATTAATGCTCCCATGGTTTACATCCAGTTTGATCCTTGGAAAAGAAAGAGATGGAGGTTACCGAGAAGGAGCTGTCCACAGGAGGTGAGCATGAGGAGGCTGGAGTCATCCTTGACCGGGAGTTTGTCGGGTCTGCCGGCTCGTTGGTCCTGTCGTTGCTGTCGCTGCCGATGAGGCTGGTGTTGCTGCTGTCGCCTCTCCGAGATGAGGATCTCCTTGGAGTGCTTGGACTCCTGGCAGCTGTCGGGCTTGGAATCCTTAGAATGACACGTATCCTTGGAATGGCAGGAGTCCTTCGAGTCGTTCGAGTCCTGGCTCCGCACGGTGGAGTCCGTGCCCACTGTCGAGATCTTCTCCATCCTCCCAGGATTTATTTCATCTCACCTCCGAGGATTCCACCCCCTCGAAATCCACCCTTCTCCCCTCCTCCTCTTATCTCCTGATATCACCACCTCGCCTTATCTTCCGGGTTCCCTCGAGTTAACTTGCGCGTCGAATAATTAATCCTAATGGGTGGTTAATGTACTCTTCTCGTTATCACTGGGTGTAGGTGCTTATCAGTGCCGCGCACTCCGGGGACCGGCAGCGATCTGCGAAACATCGTCAAGAGACCCTTCGTTAGTCACGCGAATTTCAAGGTATTCATGTTTTGACGATTAAAAAAAAATCATTACGGGTTTTAATGGGTAATCGACAATCAGCGATGTGTCGGTTTTCAACCGGCAAGAGGTAGGTCAGGGCTCGGGAAGTAAACTTGCGAAATCCGGCGATAAGAATCGGCCTTATCGCGAGCCATTAGGCTCGCCGCGCCCCATTATTCCCCTAATTAATTCCGCTCTTGAGAGCCACCTTTATTCGCGCCATTCTGACCGGTAATTGTTCTCTCATAACCGTACCTCCGGTCACGGTACGAATCACCTGATTTCAATTCCGTGAGTAGCTACCTCCATGCCCCTCGAAGATTCGCGAGGCGCGAAACGACCGATGAACCCGGAATGATAACAATTTCGCATCGATTCCAAGATTAAAAAAAAAAAAAAATCCAAGAACTAAATTCCGGACGATTTTTAATTTAATATTTAAATACAGTCCATTGCAAATCATAAGAGACTATTTATCCCTTACCAGGAAACGCGTGTAGCAGGAAATTGGCACATTACGTTAACGATAGTCCCTCGCGTGAGAAATATGAGAAGGGTGAGAGGAGTTCCCTCGCGCCTTACCTTTGATTACTTCCTCGCGAGATGGAAAATAAATGTTATACCGCGACAGTCTCGCAAAACTATTTTTCCACGTCACGTATACCGAACCGCCGTTCGTCCACTCGCGTGGCCCAATAAACAAGTGATTCGAAATTCGGCGACACCTTCTACCGCTTAGCACCACCTTCCCGCGATAACGTGTCACCCCGTCACATGTCGGCGCGGCGGTATCAAAGAGAAAAGTATTAAAAAAAAAAAGAGAGAGAGGAAAAAAAAGAAGTGCGGAAAAACTCGCGGAGGAATTCTAGGATGTCGGCCAAAAGACAAGCTACTTGCCGTGGCTCTGGTCAGTGACTGGTTGCGCAGAGAGCAACAGGTTGCACTCTCTTCTCCCTCTCGCTCCCTCCTACCCGCGGGGCGTAAGGCCGTCTCTCTCGCGCGGCCGCGTCGCGCCTCGAGTCCTCCCTTTCCGCGGTGGAGCGCCGACGAGGGTATCGCGCTCTCCCTCGAGCGCGCCCACGCCGCATCTATCGGTCTCTCTCGGTAGTACCGCGTCTCGTTACACGGGTGCCGCGCGAGCCAATGGCATTCCTGGCCTCTCGCTCGCTCTCTCTCCCTCCCGCGGGATCCCCAATCGCCCCTCTTCCTCCGCTTCCCACCGAAAACTCAATCGCGAGAGGTGGATTCGCAGCATCCGCGATGGACCCCCTCATAAATGATGGAGTTAAAGGTACTTAAAGACTGGTCTGAACATTTTTCATAGTACTCGATATTACTCTCTTAACTAGATCTAGGCGGTCCATCGGGGAGGAGACTAGAGATCGCACCCGGGGTCGGGTCTCCGGTCGATTTTTGATAAGGACTTTTTCGACCGAATTCTCGTACCTCCGGCGAATTTCGGGGCTCGACGGCGAACGAGGTCGGCCCTGGTCGGGGCCTTTACGGTATTTCTCGTATGCCCTCGTACGTAGGAGCAATACACACGGGTACAGACGTGTAACCGTGTGTGGAGTGTACACTCAAGGCCCGAGGTTTACTACGGGTCGCTCTGGCTTGCTCGCGCGCGAAGATCGCAGGAGATCGGCGAGGCAGCGAGATGAAGCTCGAGCCGGCCGATTCCCAAGCCACTTCGAGAGGTTTCTCTCCGTCGCCTTTCTAGAGAAACATCCAGAAGAGAAATGCCGCCCGGTTTCCGTCCCGGAACGGCGCCCGGGCCGTCCTTACCGACGATCGATACGCTTCTCGCCGATCCGCCCCATTATCCGAAATTCCTCCCTCGCGGTCCATTCCACCCTAAGTATGTTAAAAAGGACCCCTAATGAAAAAAGTGAAAAAAAAAAAGAAAAAAAAAAAATCACCAGGAGGGATATCGAACCATAGAAAAATGCCGGACAATAAGACCGGCTCCGTTTTCTCCTCCGGATTACTTCAGACTCGACGCAATCAGGGAGTGAGAGAGAGGAAAAAAAAAATCGGCAGGACGCGCTCTCACTTTCTACCGATGATCCGTAATCTTCTCCGCGGCTTTTCGTTCCTTTTCCTCGTCGGGGAGTTCCCCGCCCCGGTTATGATTCGCCCGACGCGCCGTCCGGATAATTGGGATCCTCGATTTTCCCTTATCACTCGCTCTATCTATTTCCTGCCGAGCTAAAATGATTTCTACCGCGCGACAGGTTGATATCCTAGCGGGCCGAAATCGCGAACCGGGTCGCACCTCCCGATTAATCCGCGGAGACTTTCGCGGTGCACCGGCGTCGCAAGACCGGAAGTAAGGTCCCTCCGCGTTAAATTATTCATCGATTTGCCCGGAGAAAGTCCTAGGAGGACTCGAACATAATGGAGAGGCCGATTTCCCGGGCGTTCGTGCCGATATGTTGCTCAATCGTTTTGGCTGTGCGTCGCGGGGGGCTGGGGCGGAGTCGCGAGCCGAGAAAGAGCGGGAGAGGGACCAAAGGGTTATTGGACCGACCACTCTCTAATGCTCGGCTCTCGATCGGACGACTAACCTCCGAGACATTGCTTTCCGCCAACTGAGCCCGATTTACTTCTAGCGGAGGCCTAGCCGACAATTCCCGACCGATCGATCAACCCCACCGCGTGTAAAAATAGGAGAGAAAAAAAAAATTGGTTTCATCTATAAAAATCGCTAAGAAATCAAGCTGGATTCTTCGGAGCGTACAGGGCTAACTGGAGATCGCGCGAGAAATTCAAAACGCATCGCACTTGAAAATTCACCGGAGATTTGATACCTCTCGAGATTATCTTAAGATATTGATAAACGATAAGACAATGCCACCTCTCGCCGTATGTCTACGATTTAACGGGTGCTTACTAGGTATGCGCCGGGTGCATACGAACGGTGCACTTTGCGGGAGTTCTCCTGCCTTTCGGGAGCAATAAAAGTAAAATCGTATTTCGCGGTCGACACTGTTACGACACATCTCGCAATGGCCGGGTTTACGATCACGTGCGAATGCGACTCGTGTGCACATTACGCGGCCGTAAATAATACCGCGTTTGCGGTCCGCAACAGGCCGGACTTATGCACTGGTTGCATCGCGACCTGTACAGTTACACGGGGGGCCGTTAAGTTATTACTTTACGCACCTATGCATGAGAGGATTTCCGGATAATTGCCGGACGAGCCGAGCTTTTTCTTAATTGCCTCGCGAGGAATTCCAGGATTAATCGGCCTTCTCCACGAGCGAATTAGCATAAGCCTAACGCAAGCCTAACACGAGCCGCGAGTCTAGGTGCATCGGAAGTGCAAGATCGCACGGTCGCCGCCTCTCCGCATCCTCCCATTATTTCCTCGACATTGCGAATTCAATCGCGCCTGACCTCCTCGCGTTCCAGGGCGAGCTTAATCGTCCCCGTCGAGTGGATACGCGAGACGAGATGGCCCATCGGGTCGTAAACCTGACACCCGGTGATCCCCCCAAAAAATGTAAAAATCCACTTTTCGCCATACAATTCGCCATACAATAAACGATCGTTAATCGATAATCCCTAAGCCCGTGATAAAACGTAGACGCGCGCATTTCGCGATGCACCTCGTGACAACCCTTCGCGGTCGACCCTGGTTAATTCTATAACTGGTGAAGAAATAATTCCAGAGACACAGGGAAATATTTCTCAAGGGGACGGGATTTCTCCCCGAATGATTTGATTAATTGTCAACGTTTAAGGACGATTCCTCTCCTTTTTAATCGATCGGGGGCACTCGGCGACCAAGAAAGTGGAAACGCCAGGTTAACGCAGCGGCGGGCCGAGGTGCACGTCGGAATTCCTCGGAGCGGGAGCTTGCCCGGATAGACGAGGGTTTTGCTCCTTTTCCGAGGCTTCTGCCATTCTGCAAGCAACCGCAAATTAATGGCGAGAGATCGTCGTACCCGCTCGCCTTGGCCGAGCAGGAAAGACTGATCTCATCTCGTAAGTATGAATGCGCTCGGCCCGTCCCTGTGCCTTGGGGACGTTTGTGCGCGCCCACTAGACATTCCTCCCGTTAATGCACCAATGTTAAAAGCGCGGAATCCATCGCCCTCGAACGGTCCTCCTACGTGGAGATTTTTCCGCGACCCCAAAAAGCGAGAAAAAAGAAAAAAAAATCCCCAGCGACACGTAGGCCTGCCTACCATTTATAGATGCACCAGGGAATGCACCGCGGTTTGACGCGCAACGTCAGGACGTTTCGAAAGCCTGCCTAGAAATTCCCGGAGACGTCCTCCGCCTGTCCTAAAATCGGCGTCCCCGTTTAGCGTAAATCTATCCCCGCGACTTAACCTGGATTTTCGCTTAAGAGATAAATAATTAAAGTAATTAAAATAATTCAATCATCGCCGAAGGTTGCGCAGCGATATTCGGTGGCTTCCCTTTTTCGCTCGTTCCCAGACCGACTCGCCTTGATTTAATTCCGTCGCCTCTTCGGATCCGCAGGTGATCCTTGAAAGGACCTCTTCTCGAGGCAATCCGTCTTTAATTCCAGTACAATCGTCAATCGTTCAATTAACGGTCCGGATTTCCTGGCCTCGTAAACCGGCTGGACGTTAAATCGCGGCTCCTCCTTTTGGGGCGCAGTCCGACCGGTATGCAATCAAGAAATGAAAAATCGCTATGCCGCCGGTGTATATCGTCTCGTCCAGCATGCTTGACCCGATACCCGGCGGAATATCAATGACTCGGCTCGCTTCCCCGGTTACAAATCTGGGGGGATCCGAGGCCAGGGTAATATAGGTCGGTCCGCCCAAGTCGGCTAAAAAAAGGCAAATAGTTATTCAAAGGATAAGGATAGCGCTCCTTCGCGACGTTCTCGGCTCAGAAATAGATGCCGGACGATCCTAGGAGTTACGGGGTTTACTACGCGGCCATGTAATCCTGGAAAAAGCGCGGGGAAATTCTCGGTCAGTCTCGGCCCGTGAGAAATGCAGCGCTGCGCGGTAGGCCCTCGGAATTCCTCCCGGCGCGAGGATGGGATTTTGAAACTCGAATCGCGAGGCACCGATATCTACAAAGTACTCCTCAGTACGCGTCCACTTTCAGTTAACGACCCGCGATTACCGGGAAGGCAGGAGGTGTGCTCATCGTAATGCCCGTGTTATATTCCGCGGTGGTCAGTGACTTTCCTACGTGCGAACGACTCCTCGGTGTCCTCCTTAGGCGGGCAGAAGATACCGTTCGATCCTCGCCGAAACAATTGCGCTCGCATCTCGCGGATTCGCGGGATACCGCGACGTGCTCGGCGAACGGGGCCTCGATTTTCCCCGCACGTATTCGGAATTTTCGAAGAGATTTTACGACAACCGACTTCCCCACGGAATTAGGGAGAAACGGACTCGCGGGGAAATCCAGCGTCGCGGTCTCATCCCTAATTAGGGTAATTAATCGCCACCTAGTTGCAGAACTTTCGCTTGTCTCGGCCGGCGATCTTCGCGGAACACGCATCGCGGATTCCGCACGCGACCCTTAACAACGCCTGTCGGTGGATGCGCTTTTTAACCGGAGGCTGGAGGGCCGTCCTTGGAATGCATCTTGCGCTTTCTCCGACCGCGCCCCTCCGAGGAGGGCTAATCTGCCCCAGGGGAGACGGAGTTAACTCCAGAGCTCAAGAAACGACCGCGCGGTATTAACATTGTCAAGTCTGCCGAAGAGAACCGACCAGCATTCCGCAGGTGAATTTTTACGCCGGCCCGGCGACCTGGATTCCGAGTTCCGATCTCAATTGACTTATTTTCTAGCTTGCGGAGCTTCGAGGGTGGCCGATAGAGAGGCGGTTCGGTTGATCGGTCGGGTATCGATTCTTGTTTAGAGTCGGTCCAGGTGGTTCGTGGGGCTCCTCGTCGAAGCGGTGCCACCGAGAGGTAACGTGTCACGTCTCGCAGGTATTACACATATCCACGGTGCTTCCACACCTGGGACACCTCGGTCTTCCTTTCACCAAGGCGGTGCTCAACCTTCCCGCCACCTGAGACACCCGCGACACCGGCGGAACGCCCGAGAGAACCTGGAGAACCTGCTCGCTGCACTTGCGCTCGATACAATTCGCGTGATTTGCCGCTTTTATCCTCCTGTTCCTAGCTGCTTAAAAACTTGGCTCTGCGCGTATCGAGGTCGCCTTCGATCGCCGGTGCACTTCTTACCTCTGGAGAGAATCGTATTACTTAGTTGCGAGACCATTCAATTAAAGAAGTGCGATCAATTAGAGGATGAAATATGAGATTTTGCCTTCTGAGGTTGATATCATTTTGTTTGCATTCATGGAACGTAGCGCTGATTAACCTAGAGAGCGCTCGTAGAACCTGAAGAACCAGTTTCGCGAGCTTTGAACCATTAACACCCTTATTATGGAGTAACGTGCTTAAGGTGTGGGTGTCCTTCTTGAATGTAAACCTCTTTCGGGTTTTTAAGGACGGTTTTAGACGGGAGAGGCGAGAATACATCGCGGAATTGTGATTTGGAAGGTCGGGGACCACCCCCGGTGATTTCACGCAACCCTTTTTTTTTTTTTATTTACTCACCGAACCGACGTTGCTTCTCCTCGAGGACGATCTCACCGAGATAGCAGCTTCCTTTCCTCTTCATGCACAACCCGATCTCGTTTACGGTTCTCATGTCGGTCAGGTATACACTGGGAAAGAAAATTAGAATTTTTTCAAGATCGGGATAGGACTCTCTCGCGAGACAGAATTGCTCAATCTTTCCAGTTTTTACCTCTTTTGCCACTTTAGTTCCAAATCTACGGATTCCACCGGAAGGATGGATTTTAACCCGAAATCGTTACCCAGAATCAATCCGAGGCCCCCGGAAGTCCCGGACTGCCGTTCGGCATTCTCTTTCTCGATTTCTCGATGGACCACCGTAACTTGGATCTCTCGCATGAAATCGACGTGCACCAAGAACAGCCTGAAAGGAGATAAACACCGTATAATCGAGGGTCGATTATCGCATTTGAAGTGAAAGCATTTCAATCTTCGGCCACTTCCTCTTTAACGGGTTCTAACTTGGAGCTATCGACTCTAAAAGACCTTCACGCTTAACGAATTAAATATCGAGTTAATGATAGTTAAAGAACGAATAAAAATTATAGTCTCTTACAGCATGAGTTCTAATGAAACTTAATTTTGTTATTTAAATCGAGCACGATAAATGATTTCACTGAAATTTACTGATAAAATGTTGCAGACAAGCTTGAGCGAGAAATTGTTCGTGTCCGTCGATTTTCGAGGATGAAATGAAGCGTGAAAATTGCATTAGATCTAAGAAAAGATCTACCAGCTCCGGTATATGGTAGGTAATCGTCGAGGAAGTAGTGAAGCACTTATTTGTGTCGGATTGATGACTCCTAATTGTCACTCTCACCTGTGGTACACCTCCGGATCTTCCGTGATCAATTTTAAACAGCCTCCACCGTAGTAGGAGAGATCCTTGCAGAATTCATAGTAATTGGCGTGATTGCTCTGTGGTTTCGGTTCAACGAGCACTGTGGTACCGAGAACCTTAATGATGCTTCGGGCAGTCTCGTGAGTTGATTCGGTCAACGTTCTCGTAGGTGAGACTTGGACAGGTCGTGTTTTCGTTTCAGTGAAGCGCAGGTGTAATGCTGGCAACGAAATCTGTGGTCTCTGCATGGTCAAGTTATAGAACGAACTTGTCGAAGGTGTCTCGTCGAAGGGCAGCTCCTTCAGTTTTGCCTGAAAATAATCGGTGAGAGGTTCATTGGAATAATTATCTTTCATTTTTAATCATTCTCGTTCTCACCTTGCCAGAGCGAAAATACTTTTGACCAGCTCCTCGACAGAAGGAGGTCGCGAAAACCTCGTTGTCATAGATCGGAACATGTATGTAGAGATAAGGTATCAGTTGGGCCCAGAAAATACTTTCTGTTGTATCGAAAACATGTGCACCGAAGAACTCGTGGGTCCAGCCTGGTGCAAATATGGCGACGGAAAGGTCTTGTCTTCGGATTCTATCTAGTGCCTAGACATGTTAATGACTGATTATAGAATTGTATTAATTTTCTTTTCAATCCGATGAATATGGAAACCCTTTTTTTACTCACATAGGCAGAATTGAACCCACCACCACCTGGACATCCCCTGCCCCAGACATCGAGACCTACGTAAACGTCTCTTATCCTATCCACATCACTGGCCAGTTTGCGGCTCTTTGATAGGCCCTCGTCGGTCCAGTTGTAGTTTAAAAAGATACCATCACAGCACGAAAAGAAGATGCTACAATTATAGTTGAATTATTTTTTCTAATTAATGTTTACTCTCATTAAGTCGATTGGATTCTTACTAATTTTCATCGTTGAGCTCATTCTGCCACCTGAGTTGTCCAGTTTTAGTAACACTGTCGTACCAAAGTACTTCCGATTCCTCAATCTCTTGGTGCATGCTATCGGTTAGATATTTGACAAAATAAATCAATTTCTCCATGTCAGTTTCTTTTATCTTATTTTCAATGTTTAACAACCATCCCTCGAACTTGTAGAATTTAGCAATGTGGACAAGGGCATCGGCAAATTTTTTGGTTTCATTCTTACTTATCAGGATATCGTTCCAAATTTGTTCACCCTCTACTCTCTCTGTAATTACAGTGCCTAGCACTTTGACACCATGTTTATGCGCTGCATTGATCCAGCCGTAAGGAGGTATAGTGACAAGATAATGACTAAAGTATATAAAAGTATCGATGACGCTCCAGTGATAAAATAAATAAGAGTCATGAATAGTTGAGCCTTCGATGAATCTGACACAATAAAACAAAGCATTTTAAAATGACGATACTTTTTATCGAGAATTTTAATTAAATAGAAGTAAAATAATTAGTACCTGTCTTCGAGGTATCCACCTTTCATATCATGACACACAATCGTCTTAGGACACTCATCTCTATTAATTTTTCTTAATTTTCCAGTTCGAACATCAGCCTGGTCACCACAGAAAACATATTCTGCTGACTCACGTAGATCTGCCAATTCTGGCCAAAGCTTTAAATTTCCAAGGTTTGCATATATCTCTTTCAGACTTTTGAAAGGGTGTGATATAAGAGCATCATATTCCATGTTCTCTCCTTGCAAGTCGCACTCGATACTGCCTTCTTTGATACCATCTTGCTCCTGCATTTCTAGTGGTCGTATCAAAGCGCTCTCGGGCATAATTACATCACCGGATGAGTACATAGATAATTACAGGCAGATTAGTGTAACTAGTAGTGTCATATCATTTCCAGCAGACGGAACTTGAGTATCGTCATTCATGCAATCTGCAGATATAGATTTTTCTTTACTGACATCATGGACAAGGGGTGACAACCATTCTTGAATCGAGTTTTATGCGAGGACAGATATCACAGACCATTAACATCAATGCGCAGCGTAAGTACTGTTCGACAACCTTACCAGTTTAAGTTATTTTTTGAATCTCATTTTTTAAATTCTGGATACTTAATTGTGCTGTGACATCGCCCATAAAATATAATTAAACATTAATTTCCAATTAGAAGCTAAATTTGTATGGTTATGTACAGGTTATAATACAATATGACTGTTACATTGAGAAGAGTTGCTGATCTGAATTTTTCCAAGGACAACATTCATTTGGAGGGTATAATTCTATATATTCTTAGGACAATTATGTTTTTCTGCAAGTGCACGCACCACGTGCACGTTTAAAACCAGAGTCAACTCTGTTAAAACTCGCACTCTATATTTTTTTATTCGCAAACTACAAAGTCGCCGGTAATCTCTGTCGGCTTGATCAAATGCCTCATGACTCACACTTGATAAATGGTCTACACGTGGTAACAAGGATACTCACATTTGTTGGTTGTTAATAATATTCCCCTCCATGGAACGGAATAACGTAACAAAAGATATTTTGATGATAATACTTCGCAGACATGAGCAGAATTCACCAGAAAGTCGTAGGAATTTACGCAATAGGCCGTTATCCTCCGCAGCTGTGGCGTCATCTCGCGACAATGGCACTAACTTCGTCCACGATTAGAACATTATCGCGACTTTACCCAGGATGTTTCCATCAACATTCTGTTTCATAAGAAGAGATAAGAAGATAGCAGGATCATTATCAATAAATGCGAACCACTAGCAGGAGAGAAAGATAGCGAGTCCATTCGTGAGTACCATATTGAGATCGAAAAGTTACCAGCCAATATCTTACCCTCGCAGTCGTAGCGTTGGTAGTCCGCCATCTTTGTTTTCCTTTTCCACCGATGCTCCTATTTTTCAAACGTGAATAAAGTGGATCAGGGACAAACAAAGCCAGCCATTGCAATAGAAACATTTATTTATAGAATCGAGCTTCGATACTTTGTTTCGACGCCAACCCCTGAAGCGAGGGGAGGCCGTGAGCTGCAATCCGCAGGTGGAGGATTCCACGGTTTGCGGACTGCCAATAGTGCGCTTCGAAAGTTGCCCATGACCCACCGTTTCCATTCGAAGAATGAAAATTTACGGCCGTGCGACAGGCACACTCGAAAGCATCCTCGAAGTAAGTGCACACGAGACAGATAGACAGACCAATGGTCCCGGGGGATCGAGGGGACCGACTTAGCGCGGTGGCCCGCCAAGTCGTTTTTGGAGCAGTCTTTCAATCTCCTGGATTCCCCAGTTCCCGACAACGAGCGACCGGAGCGGGGCGGGACTCGATTTAAAATAGGAACCGGCAATAGCGTCGGAAAGACGTTTCAATTTTTTCACAATCGTTAAGCTAGAAATCCATATCATATCGAGTGGTACAGAGCGCGGCGCGTCAGTGCGCCAAATATGGAAATAAAAATCAGAATTGCGCTCGAGGGTCCAATAAAGCCGGTCGGCCATATTGGATTTTGACACCGGATTTTCTAGAGGCGAGTAAATCGCATGACATCCTTCACAGGTATTTCTCTATATTTTTCCTGATTTCGTCGAAACGCGGGTAGTGATCAACGAGTACGTAAAATATCTCAATGGGTCCGTGCTCACGTTAGCATAATATTTATTGTTGCATTATCCTCGCTGCGCTCTATGTGACGCCACGCAGATTCCACCCTTAATTTCTTCTGCACGTGCTTCGAGTTCCCGGTACAAACGGGTAAGTGCTGAAAATATATCTCTCGTAGGTTGCTGGAGTATTTCAAATGATATTTCACCTGCCCAACTCCGGCCGTAAGAGACTTCGGACGATGGTACTTTATTACAAAGAAGAGGGGTGATCGCGACCGCAGAGGGAACACCCAGCAAGAAGTATCGACGTCCCGACGCTGACGAATGGACCGATCGTGCCCCTTCTACGGGGTGCTTTTTGCTGGCTGTACCGTGGAGTGCGAGTCTCCCGTTTTTTGGGATTGGTTTCAAGTAGAAGAAACGCATTCGAGTCTGCGCCCCCGCGGTTCCTCGACGGCTCTTCGGGGTCGTCGAGCGGGTCGCCGGGCGCGAAAGTCGAGAGAAGGGAAGACGATCGGACGGAAGCGGCCGAGGTGACACATAACTCCCATCCGACGATCGGAATAGCGCGACATCGAGAATCCATTAACGCATAAGCTCCTCTGTAGAGCCTCTCCGATCCGGGCCGGTCCCTGGGGATCGATCTCGCCGAGTGGACGCGCCCGACCTGGGGCTCGAAGGCCATCTCCGAAGATGGGACTCAGACCTCCATCAGCCTGTGCACGGAGTTGATGTCAAGGGCACAGCTTCCGGTGGTATCCGGCGAGTCCAGGAACTCCTCGGACGGTTTCACTCCGGCCGTTCGCATGTCGTCCCGTACCCTCTCCACCTGGAAGAGGGGCAAGGTACCCCGAGGCCAATCAATCGAGCAAAATGGAAGATGGAAAAAGGAGAGAACGGGCAACAGGCATCGATTTTTCAGGGATCATCAATGAAAAGCACCCGAAGGAGCGGTCTTACCTGCCTGAGGACTCGGAGAAGGTTCAGACCGGCTACTTTCTTCAGATCGAGGACGTCCCACTTGCCGCTGCGAAGGAGCTCGGCGAACAATTCCGGGTACCTCGAGACGTCTTCGAGCCCCCTGGGTGTCCTGCGAAGTGGAAGTCGAACGTTTGCTCGGATCTGTTATTTTGCCGCACCGCTCGAATCGCGCTCAGGATTTCACTTACTTATTGATGCCGTCGAAGTCGCCACCGACCCCGATGTGGTCCACGCCGATCAGGTTCCTGATGTAGTAGATGTGCTCGGCCACGTCGGACACGGTCGCTTGCGGGCCGCATTTCACGAAATAATTGTAGAAGGTGACCATTACCAGGCCCCCGTTGGCAGCCTGGAAGAGCAAAGGGATCTTTCAATGTCTCGTTCCTCCGCTCGGACGTAACTCCGCGTTACATCCCCGAAGAAATTAATTAAAGAGCGGGATTAATTACGCCGTTTAAAGGGTGCAACCTTTCTCTTTGAGGACATCAGCGTTCAGGACCTTTACTGCGTCGTGAAACGTCAGCGCTAGGAACCTGACTCGAGGGCGGTACTGGCGCAAATTAAGCCCCGGTCTTTTCCGCGGTTTTAATTCCCTGCCGTTTTAACGGCGTCGTAAAGGCCGATATTCAGAAATCGATTGTCGACCCCCAGCCTCCAACGAGACGCCAACTGCGCGTTCTCATTATCCTCCAAAGCCATTTTGCGGGGAAACTGGAATTCCGAGTTACCCTCGACCGAAGTTGATGATGCACCTCTCCAGGTTTCCGCGACACCGGGGAGACATTTTCTCTCCGTGGGAACCGTCATCAATAATAATCGATGACAGGTTCCCGAAGAACACCCTACTCGCGACCGCGCGCCGTCTTTCGATCAAAGTTCCTCCCGTCTTGGGCGCGAACTTCGACGATGCAATGTTTCCTTAATATTCTACGTGATATCCGCGGAAATTCGCGGAGCCCAGAGACCCACGTAGGTTCGAGGTAGAACCGCAAGGCAAACATCTCTCCGGGTTGGCGAGAGCTCGGCCGAGGAAGCGGAACGCATCGGGACGAAGGCACTCCCAGAGCCTTAGAAAAGTGCATTTCACGTCGGCCAGAAGTGCTCGCGGATGCAAGTCGCTCCGTTGGAGGAGTCTTGCAGGCCCGTCATAGACGTCTCCCGAAATCATGCGGCTCGGTTGGCCTCAAACTCGAAGCGTGCACCTTGCAAGCCGCATATCTCCCGCATCCCCGAAGGGCTACCCTACCGTCTGCCGGAAACACGACCACGAGAGGTAAAGCCCATTAGTCCCGTCTTCAGCGGATATCCAGAAATATCCTTTAAACGGCATATATTTCCAGGAGGATCCGCCTGGCCGAATCTACCTCGGCTTAAGGGAGGTATCTTCAAGAACTCGTTACCGAGAATCGATGGCCCTCCTGATTCATCCCAAGCTTAAGTCTCTCCCAGGTGACCCTGCTTGGCGTCGTATCTGGCCCGAAGAATCGTAAGTCGCAATTAATCGCTCGTTTCGAGGCTCGATAACCGGCGTTTATCGGTCAACGGATCCCCCGCGTCCGGAGAGAGCGCGCCGACGCGTTTTCGAGGCTCGATCGGTGCTCGGGGTGATCGATAGTCCCGGTTCTCGAGGCAGGGATTCGTCGACGATTTACGTTAACCGGCTAGGAGGGCAGGTTACACAGGCCCATCGATCCCATTGACGATTCCGACCCGATCTCGATGGTGCTCGTCCGCTGGCGCGGGTCGATGATGCCGCACGCGTCGACCGACTAATACGCCGTAGACGGGAACATCCGAGCTAAACCACTGCCTATGTACCGAGGGATCGATGTCGATGACACCTGCTATTTCCACATTACCGTATCGACACGGCTGACATAACCATGGCGTATCCACTACTTTTGCAGACAGCCAACGCGGGGCTCGACGTCCGTCGATACGTCCGACTTGTACGGCTCTCCATCCATCTGCGCCCACGGGGAGCGGAGCCACACCTCCCGGAGATCCGTCTGCGGTTTCATTTTTCTGGAACAACGTTTGCCGGCCCTGTGTCAGTCCCGTCGACACCCTGCACCGGCGCGTCTCCATGAAAGAGTCCGCAATTCCTCCAGCGTGGTTATTCACCCGCCGCGCGGATGCACATCCGACCTGGTAATGGCCGATCAGAGGAGACTTCCAATCGCGGAACTTTTCCCCGGAATTAATTATGGGTCAGCCGTGACTCCAGCGACACCTGTTGCGAGCGGCGTCCGCGTCGGGCGGGGCGAAGGAGGATTTATTAGCGTCTCCTTCGGCGGGGGCGAAGGAGGCGGGTGCACGCGGTCTCATGCAGTTCCCCGGTTCCCCGGACATAAACCACTCGATTTTACTGCAATCACAATTCCTCCTCCCCCGCCTTTGACGTATCGGCACGGCCGACAATATTGCCCCGTTAATGCACCGTAAAGCCGGCTCGCGATCGCCCGGCCCGAATCCGCGGCGCCTATCCTGCAGGATGAATGTCGATGACACCTGTTATTTCCGCATTAACGTATCGGCACGTCCGATATAACCGCGACGTATTCCCAACTTGTGCCCCGGGTCCGGGGTATAAATTTCCCGAAATCCCCGATCGCCCCCCGCGGCGTGCGTAGCGATTCACCGATCCGACGCATCCAGTCGGAAGAGGGTCCTCGAGCTCGTCCTTCCGGGAGGACCGGAAGTCTCGACGAGGTCGAGGCAGGGTGCAGAAGAAGCGACGTCTTCCAGCTCTGGGGGGATTTAATGACATCCGCCGGATTCACGGGTTCAATGGATCCCCCGAGAATTTACGGCCTTGTCCATTTCGCTTTTGTATTCCCCGGGCAAATAACGACCGCGCGCGGCGAAATTAGAAACTGCGGGGGTCGGTTTCACGCCGGGGGTGGGCGTAAAGTGCCAGGGGGCGATCACCTCTTCCGGGTGTCTTTCCGACGTGGCCGATTAAGGACTTTAACGACGCCTTTGACGAGCTCGCGCGAGGACAATAAGCTCGCCGGGGCCATTTCGAGAGAGCGAGAGGGCGAGAGGGGGTGGAAAAAGCGAGAACGAGCGAGGAAGGACACTCGCTTCTACTACTAAGCCGGAAGGTCCTGATCGTTTGGCGTTTTCGCTCTCGTCCTGGAACTCGTCCGACGATTTTACGCCGGGGGTCGTAAAATTCGGGAATTCTTCTTCCGACCGTGACGCGTGCGTTTTGCGTTGCGGACCTCGACGCCTCGACGACGCCGCGTCTTGGAAACGCAAGCATGTATGCCGGTGGTCGCAAGAAGTGGGACTAGCATTTACAGTCGTCGGAATCCCGGGTCGACATAGCCGCAACGCAAATGGGACTAAGCGAGGAGCTTACGGAGCTTTCCAAGCGGGGAGGCAGCGTTGGAAAGTCTCCTCGAGAGTCTTTCCTTTGCGGGCCACGAGGGCCGTTTCAAAGGCCGGGCTGATTGCCCCTTGATTCCCGGGGCGTTTTCCGCAGTCGCGGGACCTCGACGGAGGCTGTGGCCGGGTCTTAGCCGAGACCCGCGCCGGAACCCAGGAAAGACTGCCGGAGACCAGGAAAAACCGCCCCGGGAGCCGAGAACCCGCGAAGAAGCGAAGAACTCGCCGAAGAAGAGGAAAGGAGGTCGAGAGGTCGGCGCTCCCCGGAGAGCACTCGGTTGCACTCGTTGCACTCGTTGCACTCCCCAGGGTAACGACGGCCCGATCTCTTCCCGTTTCCAAACCGGCCACGGGCCGGCCTTAATGAAAAGCTACAAGGGCCCGAGTCTCGATTATCTTCCTCGCGGAGAGAGAATATTCTCCCACCCCCTCTTAGGGTGCAGCTCCCGAGCACCCCGAAGAGCCTCGTTATTATTCCGACTCGCAGGATACTTTCCGGATATTTGACGCCCTTTCCGGGCAGTAGGTGCACCCCTGGTCGTTTGTTCCTTGTAAATCTCGACCTCGCTCCTACCTCGTGAACCCTGAAGAGGGACCGCCGGTGGAGGGCAATCGGTGCCAGTAATCGTCAGGGGTGAGAATCTTTGGAGAGCCACCCTCGCTGGCTAATGTCCCGAGGGGAGCTCTTCGGCATCCCCTTGCTCGCCCCGAAGAGCTCCACACGGTCTAATTTGAGCCTTCAAACGGTGTTCTTTGCCCGCGGGCTCTCGACCTCAAGCGAGCCCTCCACCGGCGGCGAATCGATGTGCGAATCAATCGACGTTGCCCCGAAGAGTTCCATCTGCAGCTCTTCGGGACTCGCCGGGACTCACCAGCTGTTTCAGGATGTCGTCCGGGACGTTCCTCGAGGAGTTGCAAATGGCGAAGGCCGACGAGTGGGAGAAGATGAGGGGCGCTTTGCTGGCCCTCAAAGCGTCCCTCATGGTCGCCCTGGCTGTGTGGCTCAGGTCGATCAGCATCCCTAGCCTGTTCATCTCACGGACCACCGCCTTGCCGAAGCCTGTCAGACCTCCCCCTGCAGAGGATATTTCAAGATTAATATATTTTCTTTCGTTAAAAAACATAGCACTTGTGTATGAAATTTGGAAATCAGGTCTCACTATTTTTTTTTTTTTTTCAGGTGTGACAAGAGGACGGGATAAATACTACGAATGGGGTGCACGCAGGGGATGAATTTCCGACGTAACGTCCCGGGCTTCATCTACTTACCGGCGTCGTCGCGATCCTGCTCCACGGAGGAGCTTTTCGCCCAGGGGGTGTTGCAGGTGTGAGTGAGCGTCAAGTAGCGCACCCCTAATTGGTAAAGCGTCCTCAGGACGGCTAGACTACTCCCCAGGCTATGGCCACCCTCGACTCCAATTAAAGAAGCTATCCTACCCCTCCCGTGGGCCTCCAGGATCTCTGCAATTCAGACAACACCGGGATTACCCCTGCTAGTCCTCTCGATGCCTCTCGGCAGGATTAACGAGGATTTCTTGAGGAATAACTAACGATTCGAGAGGACCCCTCGAAGCGCGGACTGGAACCGTGGTGGATGCTGAAGTGCCCTCGAGGTCGTTGGACATTTTAATTAAGAGACCGTACATATTTCTGCGGGATTTACTTTGACCCTTGAGGGCACTTCCAGGGTGTCGTGCGAGCCCGCCGAGTTCCGATCGCGAGGGTTCACCCTTGCGGGGATCACCGGCCTCCACCGGGGGGGTTGAACATTCTTTGGCACCCTGAAGTCGCGGAGCGCCGGAAGTTCCCGCTTGGGACTTGTGCTTGCGACTTAAAGGGATTCTCGGGCAAAGTTGCACCCTGTGGCTTTGTGCTCTCGCCGGGACCGACTCGGTGCTTCTCGCCGGAGTTCCTCGCCCTGGAAACGCTCCCCGGCTTTTTCGACGCACTGGTAGCCAGGGACGATTTTCTTTCCGTTAACCCCGAGAGGCTGGTCGGAAAATACCCACGAAAGCTCCGTCCACCCCCTAACTCGCGACCTCGAGGGGAGGAAATCTCTATTCTCGGTCACGTACTCGCGAAGTCGCGGGAATGCTCGCCGGGAAGCATCGAGAGGCTCGATTTCAAAGGACTCGTCGTCTGGAGGCACCTCGGCGAGTGCGTTTCCGTTTTCGGGGGTTTCCGATGCACTTTGCGCAGGCGAAGTGCATCGGTTAGAGGATGGGGAACGACTCGATGTATATTCATGTGTGTGTATTTATGCGTAGATACGAGGAACGAGTCATTATCTGGATCAATCAGCGACTATCAAAAATTTGGAGGGAGGTACAGCGATCTCGCGAGGATAGGAATTTCAAGGTGGTTCCAAGGGGTTGCGGATCCCCACAGACGGTGCATCCCAGCTTCCCTGATCTCCTCTGCAACCCTTCTCTCGGCTGGAACACGTTCGATAGCTCGTTACCGGAAGTCACCTACCTCTGGAGGACGCGGCGAACTGCATGTGCTGCGAATACTTCTCTATGAGCCTCTTGATAAGGTCCACCTGCTCCAGAGTCAGCTGGACCGCGTTGAGATGCTGCGACTCGCACGGCACGTAGGCGGCCCAGAACTGCAAGCATCGTTTCCCCATTGGTTTCCGTTTTCCGCTGAGAACCGACGTCCGCTTGCGAGTTTTCCCATGCGGACATCTAAATATATAGGTATTTCTTTTTCTTTTTTTTTTTTCATCACGCGAATCGGTCGATCGTCCCGCACTTTGACGAGCGCTCTTCAAAGCGAGCGAACCGCGCGTTTTATTGGCCCGAGCGAATACGTCCCTTATGTCACGCGGTATGTCTATCGATGCGATTTTTAATACGCGGGAATTCGTCGGGAAAAAAAAAAAAATATTGACGGTCGAGCGAGACCGCGGTTTCGACGGCACTCGGCGGTGCATTTCCGGAGGCGTGCACAGAGTGCCGCACAAAGCGGGGCCGCCGTCGCACCTGTTCTCGAGGGCCCGCTCGCGAAAACGCTCGATTAATTCCGCAGGGTCGGGTGAATGTCAGGTCGAATGAGAGTCGCTAAAGGGCCGAGACCCTTGGCGATTCCCTTTTCCCCGCGCCGAACCGAGCGGCGCTAACGATCGAGCCGTAGGAATGCAAATTCGCGCCTTCCCGCCTTTCCGCGGCGGAAAGGCCGCCCCTGCGGGTACTAGTGCTCGGGAGCGACAGGCTACATCGATCTGTCCGCCGCGGCTGCACCTGCAGGTCCGCTCCCGGCCGCGCAGCCTCGCGTCGAGTCTCGGAACCTGCGGAACGCGGAACCCGCCCGCGGATTCGCGCCCGCGGGCCCGATCACCCGTCTGGATAGATTCCAAGGGGCATTGCGAGATTTCCGATGAACCCGTCTAGGCGCACCTGCTATCGACAGATTTTTCATCTCCAGAGGATTATTCCGCGCCCCCTCCGCGCGGTGCTCTATATACTTTTCGCGCATTAACGCTTAACGGCGGGATATAAACAGAGGGCTGTATTTATATGGAGAGGGAGTGGGCGAAATCGGCGTGCACGTCCCTCTACGTGCCCTGGAAGGGGCGCTGCAGCTGCATTATGGAGCATCCGAGGAACGACCGGGTGCCGTGCAGGAATTCCGCGATGCGGAAAGCACACGAGTGGCGCCCCTTCTATCGCCTCTCTTCGGCGACCGAAATTTTAGGGGCCGTCCGTTTCGCCCTCCTTATTCTCTCCCCCTTTTCCACGGTCTCGCTCTCGCGTGCAATTCTCGTCGCGACGCCCGGACGCGATTCACCTGCGCGACCTGCAGGTGCAACGGGGTCGAGAGTTCGACTCGCATCGACATGGCCGATTCGAGGGTATTCGACTCAATCGCGGGGCATTAATCGAAAGAACTCGCGACGGGGTCTCGATCGATCGGCTTAGAGCCCCTCGCCGCGGAACCGGCGCGGAAATGCCGCAGTAATTGTCCCGGAAATGCGGGATAAGCATCTCGCGTATGACTCTCCGGTTTCCGGGTCGGTGATTGCCAGCCGACGGATTTTCGACTGTCGCGAGGGCACCTCGACGAGAAAATTCATGCATTCCCTTTGTTTCGCTTTTTCCTATCTTCTATTTCCTCCTCTTTTATCCCCTTCTCCGTCTCTCTCTCGCAACGACGCACTTGCGAGGATCGATTATCCGCGTTAATACGATTGAATCTTTAACCAGGGATGATTGAAATTCCGTTTGAGAGCGTCCGGACGTCGGATGAAAATACCGTCTTTTTTTGCCCCTCTCTCTCTACACCTACATATATGCACGCATGTATATCATTTAGCCCCAGAATATTAATCTCTGAGCCGCAAGTGGACCCGCGGATCGCGAAATATGATTAGCGCGAGTGGATCTTCCCGAGTCGGGGATTTCTATCCTCTCCCTGGCGCTTTTAATTTCTCCGATTTTCCCATTTTCCCTTTTTATGGGGAAAGTCGATTCGCAAAGGGCGGAGGGTTCGGGCTCTCCACGTGGGCCGGTCGTGCCGCAAAATCGAGATCACCCGCGGATTACCCTCTAAACGGATACTGCGAGCCCTCTCGCGATGGACACCGGTGCGGAAAAAAGGAGGGGGCAGGGGGGCTCCCTTTCAAAGCTGCCCGATATCCAGACGCGTCCATTGATCGCCATCGCTCCCTCTGTCTATCTCTCTCTCTCGCCCCCAACATCAAAAAGACCGACTGTGGCGTTTCCGCGCCGGATTTTCCGCCGCGCGGACGGAGCACGGAAACCGGGCGTTTCGGGTTCCTCCCGTTTTCGGATACGGCGCGCTATCAAACGGGCCCCGTTATCGGAGCCACCCCTTCCAATACCCCTCGGTCATTTGAGCGCGTTTTTATTCCGCAGTTTTGACTCCCCCCCCCTAAGGAAGAAGAACTCGGAATTTGGAAATTGGCCCTTGGGGCGGAATTTATATTTTCGAGGGCACTTTGGAAAAAATCCCGCCGCACTCTTCAGCCCCTCCAGGTGCTCCGGTCGGTCGATTCGCCCCCGTTTTTATCGAGTTTACCTGTGAGCGCTCGATTTTCCGCCGCGTTTTTCCGCGAGATACCGGCCACTCGCAAACCGACCGCTCGGAGCTAATCCGTCGAGGGCGATTCGGTATCCGTGACGTATCAGTGCACCGATGGAAATAATCGGGAAATAATTTATGTTCGGATTCTAAATGGGACCTTCGTGCGCGTCCACCCCAACGCCCGGGAGATCAGGTCTCTTTTAGGGGAGGAGAATTATTCCTTTCGTTATTCCCATCCTATTATGGATTCACGTGAATAATATCGCAATTAAATTTCATGCCGTCTCCACGGGTGCGGGGACGTATACGGATTTGTTGCGTACCCGGGGTAGATGTGCTCGAATCGGCCTTTAATCCATTAACGGCCCAGGATCCGCGGGCCATACCCGAGGTGATCTTCGATGTCGGCGATGAGCCCTCAAAGGGCGCCTCTTCGCACCCCAGCTGGCGGTATTCGCGACCCTTACTCTCGACAAAGTACGGGAACGCGTGCCGCGCGCGTAATACGATTGCGGAGCCCGGTCTTGCGGATGTAACAACCCCGGGGTTGTTGCGAGCACCCGTATACCGCATTACGGGGTAATAGGGAATACGGCTCGCGTACGTGCACCCCTAACGACGGGGGTGGTTAGGGCGGAATTAGGTTGGGAAATCGCTTGTCTGAGTCCGCCCCGCCGGGGGCCACCCTTTGCACCGATCACAGACAAGTTCTCTATTCCGGGTCGAGATTAAAGCGCGGGGAAAACGGCGACGAATTGATAAACCACCCCCGTAGGCACGGCCAAAGTAGCCGAGGTCGAGGGCGAGGCTTCTCGCCCCTTTTGCGCCCTTTCATCCCCCGAGTGCGCGACTGGCGGCACCCCACAGGTGCACCCTGTTGTGGCCACGAGGGGTGGTAAATATTCCCGGGCACTCTCGAGGGCTTTCAGGGTGCGCATTAAATTTAGATAGTCCATCCCCGGGTTGCCCTTCGGGGGTGAGTTTTAAAATTTAAAGGGCAGGCGCAGAACGTACGCTTTCAGGGGGCGGCGGGGGTAAGAACGATTCGTCTGATGTGTTGGATGAACTTTCAGATGGCGATTTAGGGGTGGTGAAGTGTTTTATGGGGAATTACCTGGCCGCCGACCATGCCCTCGCGCAACCTGAGCAGGTCGGTCTGACTCCAAGCGCTCTTGCTCCAGGGCGCGACCTGGCGCAGGTCCTTGTCGAAGTCGAAGTCTGCCAGCTGGTTGTGAACGAAGTTCCTGATGTTCCAGGGGAGGTCATTGTGCCCGTCGATGAGCGGCACCTCCGCCAGCACCTGGCGCACCGTCTCCAGTCTCTCTCTGGTCGACCCTGGAGAGGCGATCTCCCCTTCGGCCGGTCTGGGACCGACCCTTCCTATCCAGCTTCCGATCAGGATCACCAGGCTCGCTCTCCAGACGTCGCTGTGCCCTCCAACCTGCAACACGAAGACGCCGCTCCGGTTATTTCCCCAAAATGAGACGCTTCTTATCGCGCCCACTTCCAGTCGGCGGTGAATTAATGACTTGACTTAAGTAAGAAGTACTCGTCGTTAAAATTAATTACTGTTAAACTCCGTAACCGGGAAGGACTTCCGATAGAGGCGGACCCTCCTCTAAGACGCTTCTTGCAGCATCCCCGGGGAGCTTCTTGGGCCAGCGGTGGATTAACGAGGACGCCTCGCAGGATCCGCATCCTGGGCTGCGCGGCGTATATTGTTTTTGGAATAATTCGAAGCGGTTCCGGAGGGCCGCATACATATGTATGGGCCCCTTTCCTTGATACAGACACTCTTGAATAATATATCCGGCTCGAGTGCTCCCAGGGTTGCCTACGAGGCTGGGATTACGGGCGGGCGGGGAGGAAAGATTAAACCTCGGACTTTGTCTTCGCGTATTCGTCCGCCCTCGTCCTCGCTCGTTGGCATTCACCTCGCGGGAGTGAACGCGGGGGAGGTCTCCGAACCCCTCGATGCCGTGAAGCTTATGGGGAATTATTTATTTACCACTCGAAAACCTGGGGTAGTCTCCCTAGAGGTTTAGGCCCCAGACGTCGAATTTATCGCCTCGATAGCTCGAAAGCTCCGCCGGTCACGCGAGGAGGGGTCGAGCTTTTGGAGATTGCCCCCTCCTGCGAACCTGTGATCAGGTGAGAAAATCACCTATTCTTTATGTCGATTTTACGCCCGGAATACGTCCATTAGATCGAGTAACGTCTCGAAGAAGTGTCGAGTCCATTGACCGAAAGCGAAGTCCACACGTCCTGGCATCGGATCTCGGGATAGTTCCACTAGAGAGTCGAAATTGATTTGCATTCCGGACAGTTGTCTTCGGGGACCTCCGCTCGCGCCGAGTCCCAGTCGATTCCTGGCATCCTGGATAGTTTTCCAGGAATTTAGCGCTCGGTTTCGCGTTTCGACGTCGCCGCAAGGATATGGGGTGGACGCGCTTGTCCGAAATACCTGGACGGCCAGGGTGAAAAATTGCAGGCGCAAATCTGGGCTCTACTTAGGAATTATACGCCACCCTAACTCTGAATCATTCATAATCATTCCCGAGGGATAAATTAAATTTCCTTGTGTTTTCTAATATTTTCTTGTATCGTTACAGATTTTCCCTGACGCGTTCCCGGGAATTCAGGGGGATCCCGGAATCGAGCGCACCTGTTCCCGGGACCGGCGAAGCGTGGCGTTCCCATAAAGCTCTCCGGCATCCTCTGGACCTGGGGCCCCGGTAGAGGGTGGAAAAAGCAGCGTACCGAGGTATGCCCGAGAGGGATGATTTGTGCGGTTATCGGCGCTGCCCCCTGATTTATGCCGATCGATTCCCGTGTTTTCGGGACCCCTCCCCCACTCTCTGGATAGCCGGGAGCCTGGACCGAGGGTGCCAAACGTTAAATTAAATTCCCTCCTTTCCTCGCCGGTATTTTATTCCCGCACGCGCGACGCACCCTGTCCCCTACCCCCCTGAAAGGAGGGCCTCGATGGGGCTGAAAAGCTCGGCCCGAACCTGGCGGCGCTCCAAACGTCGCCCGTAATAAAGGGCCCCATTAAAAGCTCGACAAAGGCGGCCCACCATGTCGGACCCGGGTCTATCGATCCCCCATCGGCCGATATTTCGAGGCGGACACGCGCCGGTCAATTTTACACCCCCAAGGAGGAGCTCTCCCCATTTCACGCTCGGCGCACCCTCGAGTCTGGAAAATCGCGACCGATTTCGATCCCCCCCGGGATATCCGAGGCACTCTCATTGGAAATTGACGTCGGCGCTTTGGAAGAGAAGAGTCTCGCTTCCGGTTTATCCGATTTATCCGTGAATGCGTGTTATCGCTTATAGGAGCGAGACAACCTCATGTACCTACTTTCGCTTGTACTCTTTCTCCGTACCCTGAGTACTCGTACACTTCCCCGGGAACTCCTACACTCCCGAGATGAATCCCTTGAGAAAGTGTACGGGGATTAGGAGGGCGGGAACGGGGGTGGAGGTCTCGGAAAACAATCCTTTTTCCGGGATGGCTTTCTTATTCCACCTCGTGGGATATTCAGGGGTACCTTAGGGCTCTTTTATTGCCACCCCTGGGAGGTGGGGATTTTTCTTACGGGGAATCCACATCCAGGGTTGGAAAATCACCGCGGGAAGTATCCGGTTATCGCGATCTGTTTTGGATATCGCGATTTGTCGACCGACAGGGGTGGGTTCCCCCACCGGGTCCGCCACCTCCAATGGGGCGGTTCTTCTTTTCCGCAGCTCGCTGAGAGGGTTTCCCAGTACCTCGGGACACTTCCAGGTACTTTCATGCGTCTTCATTCTCCTCGATTACACCTCCCGGAGGAACACCGGCAGTTAAGTCGGATGCTCGGCAAAGACGAATGCAACGCCCGGGGTGTCTTTTTTGGACGACCCTTTACATCCCTCCCGTGTCTGGGAATCCGAGGTTCACGGGGTTTAGTCTAAAGTGGAGGGCTTTTCACCCTCTCCAGACATATTCCCGAGAATCACGCTTTCCCGAGATGATCGATTATGATTTAATATTTTTTATCTCGAGGACGACTGTCGGTCGGCGCGAAATTTCTGAGTCCACCTTAGAGAGTTTCCCGTAAAAATATGCGACGTCGATAAAAATCGGGCACCCTCGCGGGGGGTCTTTGCAAAGACAAACTCGGGGTATAACTCGTTAACGCTAACGGCCCTCTCGGCGGCGGGAGGGTAATCCCCCCGGATGTAACTTTGGATTTGCACTCGGCGGGATCTAATATTTGCATGTAAACGCAACTGCGACGGACCGGGTCGGGAATTTGCGGGGCCGCGGGGTGTAATGTTTGCCGGTGACACCCTGGGCACGGACCCTCCCCCGGGAAGACCCGCTTCCGGGAGGATCTGCATCCCCCCGCGCGGGGGAGGGCGAGATAACGTCGAAGCCGGATGTTATACCCCCTAATTATCTCGCCGTTCCAATCGAGTCGAGGAGCGTCCTCGATTTGCGTCGAGGTTGAGGGCAACCGATGCAATATTTGCCCGCCATCCCCTTGGGGCGAGGGAGAACGTCTACCCTCGGGCATCCCCAAGGAAACCGCGATTTAACTGGGCCATACCCTCGCCGGGAACAACCGACCAAGTACAACCGACAAGAACAACAGAGGGTGTTGATCGAGCCGAAACACGTCCCGGGAACTTCGGGGCCATTAGGAACCGATTCCTGCCCCCCGGCTCGATCTTGACCCCCCCCAGGGATCCAAGTTCGGAGGGGAACTACCCCCAAAGACACGAGAGGGCTCTTAGGGACCTAGAAAATATCCCCCGATAGCTTTTCGGATTTTTCATCTCCTTGTAACCCCGTAACCCCGGGAATAGCGCTAAATTCAACCCCTTCCGAAACCGCCGCCATCTTTCGGGAGCGATTCCCCGGGGAGCTGTGAGTCCTCGAGCATGTTTCACCCCGTAAAACCAATTTCCCTAGGAGCACGCTAGTTACCTTTATTACCCATCGCGGCGCAACGTCGCGTTACGGGATTAAAGCGCCGCACGGCCGCTCCGCCTCGTTATTCCCGAACGCGTAACGATTCGTTAATTCCCCCCTACAAGGGATTCGGGTCGACCTGATGAACCCAAGATTTTGTATTTGTCAACGTGGTATTTTATTTTCGGGAAATCTGGGGAAAAACTCCGAGTAGAGTAGGGGGAGCGGATAAAGCGACGCAATGGGAACCCGCGGGCTTTGGAGGGGTTACCGGGAAAGAAAAATGTTTTCTCATGGAATCCATATTCGGGGTGGGTAAGATCCGCGACATCCCTCTTCAGGGTCTCGAGGCCTCGCGGAAACTCCGCAGGAAAAGTTGTCGGCGTTTCCCTCGCCTCGCGGAATCCGGAGCGAGGGAGTGCACCCCTCGGTGGGATCTCCTTGCATCCCCAGAGGATGGAATCGCGACTTCTTCCGCGTACGGTCCGCGTGCGAGACGTTCGTACAGTGTCCGATTCCGCAGCGAATAAGACGCTCCGAAAGATGCGCATTTCTCAAGACAGCTTCTTCCTTCCGAGGAAATGCGAGGATGCGAAAATCCGAAAGCGCGGAAATATGAAAATACGGAAACGCGGGGGTAGGAAAATGCGGAAATACGGAAATCGAGGATAGTACGGAAATTCCAGGCGGAGCATAAACGCGGACGGGCCGCGCGACGCCCCCGATCGAACGAGAGGCTCCTGCGAGCGACGCGCGGAGGAAACGCGGCGGTAAATCGCCCGCCGATCATCGCTCGACGACGCTATTCGCCAGGACGAGCGCACCTCGAGTTTCCCTAAGGAAATCCGATTTGCCAGGAGCTTTCCGCGTTGCGGTGCCCTCGCGGAGACGGCTTCGCCGAGCTAGAGCGCGGAAACGCGGTGTCCTCGCCGCGGGAATTTTCCACGGGGAGCGAGAGAGGATCCTCGAGAATTCTCGTGCAAGGAATCCCCTCGGTGGTTTTTCAGTTTCTTCCGGCGATTCCCGCGAAACCTCCCCGCTCTTCGAGGTCGCCCCCGCGGGGTTATTCCGCGGGTATCGCGCCGCTTTTAATGTCGCAATAAACCCCGCCTGCGTAACACGACTGCCGGCGCCGAGGGGGAAGTTCCCCCCTGGATGGATCGCCCCGATTTCTTCGGAATTTCGTTCCCACCACGAGCGACTCTAGGAATTTTTTTCAAGGTACTCCCAGCCACCCTTGTGTACGTGTAGCATCACTCCTGGGGGAGGCATTAATTCCGGGATCCTGGGATATACCCTCCAGCACCTGGATGCCCCATTCAACGCAGTCATGCATCCAGCTTAGGAATTAACCGTGGTCGGGTGTAAATCTCTCCACATCGTCCGTATAGGGTCCCTAGATCATAAAGAAGTGCAGGGATGCACAGGGCAAGGTGGCCACTGTCTTCCCCCAGGAATCCGACCGTCGATTTATCGCGAAAA